GGCCTCTCGGATCCCAACATCTGGCAAGGTTCCAACTGGGTCAGCGGCTCTCTTTCCAGGGAGTTTTCCCCCTCTCTTGCTTCATTGTCTGACATGGTAAATTTTTGCAAAATCCCCCGGCAAGGGTCTCCCTTCCAGGTGGATTAATTTTGCAAGTCCTGTCTAATGTAAGGACCCACCCCACTTTGCATCTTAAGAAGACAGAACTCTTGGAATAGCTCTTCCAACAGGAATCCTTATTAAGAGAAAATGGTTGCAGGCATGCTAGACAGGACTTGGGGTTCAAGCTCTCCCATTCAAGGTTTTAAGGGGTTCCCCAGTAGTCCCACCCAATCAAACCCCCTTCCAGTGATAGTTTCAAGTATCACAATTCCACCCCTTTTCTTCTTTCTTCCGTCTAGATGGAGACTTCAGATAACTACATGAAAGGCAATTACCCTTCTTTGATATGCTTAGAGGTCACAATACACACACATTCATCATTCAGCCCTTTGAAGTGTACTGAAGGAAGTGAGGGCCATAAAGCCCCTTTGCTCTCTCCCGTCTCTCCCTCTTATGGCAGAATCCAGAGAAGGCAGAATTGGAGTTTCTATATTTGATAATTAAAGATGAAATATAATTGGATTCTGACACAAAGTCTTCAACTCCTCCCTATAAGAATTTTCATTATTATCCCGGATAAGACCCACCACTGCCATGTCATCCGCATATTTCACAATATAATTCGTAGCAGATTTAGCACAGCAGTCATGGGTCATCAAGATGAACAGTAATGGATTCAAAACACAGCCCTGTGGGCAACCTATACTCAAAAAGATGGAATTTTTCTTCCAACTCGCACAAACTGGGACCTATCAATAAGGAAGTCAAGTATCCAGCTACGTAAGGAAGCATTAAAGCCTAATAGGCCCAGTTTATTCACCAAATGCTGAGGAATGATTGAATGTCAAATTAAGATCAATAAACAGCATTCACACATGAGTATTCTTCTCCTCCATGTGTGCCAAACTAAGATGAAACACACAAGAAAGTGCATCATCTATTGAGAGGTTTTTTCGATAAGCAAACTGTAATGAGTCAAATGTAGGAGGAAGGCATGAAACAATATAGTTCTTTACAAATCTATTGAAACATTTCATGATAATGGAAGTGAGTGCAACTGGACAGTAATCATTAAGGCATGTAATTATAGACTTTTGGGGGACCAGAACAATGATTGCAGTCTTAAAACATGATGGAACCATGATCTGATGCAACAAAAGATTGAAGATGTCTGTAAGAAAAGAGGCCAGTTGGTCAGCAAACTCCTTAAGTACTTGCCCAGCGATATTATCAGGACCACAGCCTTTCACATGTTGACTTTCCACAAGATCTTCCAAACAGTAGTTGTATCAAAGTTAAGCATCTGTTCATCAGAAAGGGGGACAGCCTTTCTTGCTGAAATGTTAATTGATGCCTCAAACTTCCCAAAAGTATGTTTAGCTTATTTAGAAAATCCATGTCACTCTTACATGCCAGGGAAGCTGCTTTATAATCAGTGTAATTACCAAATTTTTATTTTTTACAGTTCCATGCCAATACATCTTGATGTTCCATTGCTAAATTCTATAACATTTGGAACAAAACTACTGGCATTTTGGAAGATAAGAAGCAAATATAAAGGAGTAGAAGAGAAACAACAAAAGGAAAATGCAAGCATATGTGGAAAGCCATAAACATAAAATTGAATATAGCATAGAAGCTTTACCTATGCTAAATGAAGCACTTCTTCTTTTATGAAAAACTGATTCTGTAAATGTATAGAATTAATTTATTCTTGGAAACTTGGGAAAGGGCCAATACAGTAAAACTTTCCATATACATTTTATTCTGAACCTGAGCATTTCAAATTTGTAGTAAATGTATTTTACTGTATTTCTAAAATAAACATGTGTTCAATGCATATCTGTTACTGCTGGTGTGCTATATTATTTTAAAGCTTTTTATTTTCATTACCCCTAGTATCAGGCACATTAATATACTGTTTTAATATTGCTATTTATAGTATCAGGCTATGGAAATGCTAAATATGAAAAATGTATGCTCTTCATATAATTTGTCAGTTGAAATTAACATAATCAACAATAAATTCCATCTAGACACCTACAGAAATATATTTTTGAAAAAAAACATTTATTTCATTTTTAGATCAAAGTTATTAAATCTTGTTAGCTATTATAGTAAAAATCCTAAACCAATTTCCTTTATTAAATGAAAAATGCATAAATAATGCAAATGCAGCATTTATATTTCAGGAAAACATTCAAATAATCAATTCATAATATCTTTCACATTAGGAATAGATGATAAATTCGCATGCAATGAAACTAACCTGTGCCAGATAAAATAGAATGTATTCTTTCATCTGTACTTTAATGATCAAATGCAGAAGGGTAAAAAAAATGTCACCTTAAATGTATATAACTAAAAAACTTGCTGTTTGATTAACACTATAATGAAACACCTTTTTGCATACTAATTTGAAAACCTGGATTCAAAAGAGATGGATGTAGCAAGAAGGACTCAGGCGAGAATTTCCCTCCCATCAAATTAACTGCTCCAGAAGATGATCAAACTCATTATTGCTATTTAGGAAATTATTGACAACTTGGTTCTTTTGCCAGGCATCCCAGTATTTAGATTTTTATTAAATTTTGATCAGTAGTGGGATTCAAATATGTGAACAACCGGTTTTCTATGTGGATGCCGCTTCCAGAAGTCTGTTCTGGGCCTCGGCAACCAAAAATTAGCTACCGGTTCTGTCTAACTGGTGCAAACCAGCTGAATCCTACCACTGATTTTGATTCTTTCTCTGTCTCTCTCTCTCTCTCTCCCCACCTATATCAACAAGCAACTCTGCAGTGAATGGAATTAAGATAGATGACCAATTGTTTTTATTAACAATTGCAAACATTACAAGAATTAAAATAAAAAGCATCAAGTATTACTAACATGCTGGTAGTAATTCCTGATAGTCATATTATTATTACTATTTTGAAGCTGAATTGTGAATATTTTTTTGCAGTTTGTTATGAATATTTTTATTGCTTTTTTCAGTAGGTCAGATTCACTTTGAACTTATATAGAAGAAGGAAGCATCCCTCAATGGAAAGGGGAGTTAATGATATTTCTTTCTTCCTGAGGTTTCCTATATCCTTTAAAATCTGTGTCAAAGTATTTTGCTGCTAGGAAAAAAAAAAAAGGACAATCGCAATGTGGTACCAGAAATATATTATGCAATGTTGGAAGTCACTTAAAATGCTGTTGTTCCTGCTACTTATTGCAGGGTTGCATAAGTAGAATTCCCTGTATATATAGAATTCTCAGTATATGTAAAAAGGCACCTGACAAACTCTATATAAACTTCCCAAGAAAGAAAAGTAGCCACTATCTGATAATCACTGAGAATAGCTCTGAAGATGATACAATAAATTCTGGGGCCAGCTGCAAAGTGCCATCTTAACTAGTTTAAACTTCAAGAGGAGAAATAAATCTCTACTACTAGTGTCTATTAGTACCTCTTTCCATGAAGAAAAGTAAGAATAATACTGATATCCCCACCATTAGACATTTTCACTAAAACTACTGCAAAACTAAAAATGAAAATTCAAAAGACCATTTCATCTATTTCTGCTTTGGTGTTTCTCATTTCTCATCTGCCATCAGTAATATTGGTTTGTTCATGGTATTATTCCAACATTTATGGAACAGTATGATTTCTTCAATGCTTCTTAGAGCACAGGTAGTCCTCGATTTATGACCACAATTGAGCTCAAAATTTACGTTGCTAAGCGAGACAGTTGGGTGAATTTGCCTCACTTATGACCTTTTTTTGCTACAGTTGTTAAATGAATCACTGCAGTTGTTAAGTTAGTAACATGATTGTAAAGTGAACCTGGCTTCCTTGTTGACTTTGCTTGTCTAGAAAGTTGTAAAAGCTGATCACATGACCACAGGATGCTACAAACATAATTATGAACCAATTGCCAAGCATCCAAAATTTGGTCACGTGACTGGGGGGATGCTGTAACAATCGTAAGTGTGAAAAATGATCATAAGTCACTTTTTTCAGTGTCATTGTAATTTGAACAGTCTCTAAATAAATGGTTGTAAGTCAAGGACTACCTGTAATGTGCTTGTTTTTAATCAATGCTGTTATTACAGGGAAATATTAGTACTAAAGAGGAAAGAATGTTGAATAGAAAGTAAGACAAATTTATTGACATAAGTCTACATTTACAATTATATAAATGTGTTAATATATTTTTATTATTACAAATACAAAAGAATTTAAAAAATCAAGTATATCATTAGATAAACATCATCTGTGAATTCTATTTTTATATAAGTATTATTGCTATAATTAAAAAGAACACTGTGTACATATATTTTGGGAATGTATATGTGAATATGAATACATGTATATATCCACATACACAACATCAATTATAATAGTGTATTTTAAACTATAAATGTCATAAAATATCATAAAAATTAATAATTACAATAATCAGACATCTATCTCTATTCTGTATGAGATAATATAACTCTGTTTATTTGTACTTTATATGTATATAATTAATCTGACTTATATGGTTTCATAATTTCCTTTCTAGAGTAGAAAATAATACATCTGCACTATTTGTAGATAATTCCTAAGATTAAATGCTTTAAAAAATTATCTTACTTGAGAAATGGAAAGGATGCTCTATTTAACTCAGTAGAAAGGCTGATCTGTATAAAGAACATATCTGTATGTTATATCTTGACAAAAAACAAACTGTACCAACAGCTATAGAAAATGTTGTTGGGTGGCTTTGTCCAATTACTTTTTCACAGAGTTGTAGGAGAAAAAATGATGGGAAATCATTTTTGTCTAACCTGGGTTAGACAAAAGATGGGATATACTTTCAGCAAATAACTATAAAAATAGCCAGGAAAAGATGGGGAAAAATTCTCACCTCTGTCACAATTTAGTTCATCACTGTTGTCCACACAATCTTGAATTCCATCACAAAGCCATCGGATAGGTATACAGTATGCTTTATTTTTACATTGAAATTGGTCTTCTTTACATTCTGTTACACAGTGCATCTGTATAAATATACATTCATATGTGGCAGTGATTATTGCCAATCAAGATAGCAGAAGTATAATTGGAGCAACTAGAATTTAACAAAACCAGTTTAATAATTTAATCATTGGTATTTTTTATTGATAAGAGTATGTCATCACAGAATATAAAGTGTTACATTCACAATTTTCATCTGTAAATAATAATCAATATTCAAAAGATCCTTGGCAATAAAAGATTCCTTATTCTTTTCTCTCTCACCCTCATCTCCATATACTCTCAATAAATACATTTTGAAGATTAGGGTATCTTGAAGGAAAATCCAGGGGATTAATCAGAACAGAGAGATCAAATAACCTATGAATTCCTAGTTTATATAGTGGTGAAATTATTTTTTGCAAGACACCAATGAGATAATGCCCACTGATTCTTACACACAAAACAATCAGCCACACAGTTCTATAAACTGTCCTTTATTTATTAATGCATTATTTTGGGGAAACAAAGTCATGTAACTGGGAAGCAACAATAGGCAAAATGAAACTATTTCAGGATAAACATTTTTTAAAAAAATAAAGATAAAAATAAGAAAGGATTTATATACACTTATAATGAAAAAATTACATCTGCAACCCAGCCAGCTAATATTTTTTATTGTAAAAAAAGGATTTAAATGCCTTTAAAAATAATTAGCCAAGTGTATCTTTAATGTACAGTATTCTAGAATTGGAGACTATCATCAAAAGAACACAATTGTTCCTTATATCAATGAAAACATTAATGCTATTATTGAAATACAGAATTAAACTAAACATTGGACCTATGTTTTATGGATAAATTCCTGAGTTAAAAAGCTATTCCACAGTATTGTTATTTTAAATTCAAGTTTCTAAACTTGTAGATGAAAACTTTGGATCAGATTAAGATATTTAATGTCTTACTTCATCGGAACCATCAGGACAATCATATTCTCCGTTGCATCTAAAAGATGCTGAGATACAGCCTCCATTGGCACAGACATATTCACTTGAAGAGCAGGTTGGGGGCGCTGTTTAAGACATAACATTGAAAACAGGCAAATGAAATAACATAATTTCAGATTAATAGATAGATTGCAGATACTATATTTGGGTGTACCTTATCTTAAAAAACCTAGAAGATAATGGCCCTCAATGTACAGAATATGGTCAAGAATATGGGCCAGTATATATTCTTATTTTTTTTCCCATACATCCACTTAGGACTTTAACAACAGAATGGTAAAATGTAGACACAAATACTGTTTGTGAATGATTTCTGTCATTATATACATTTATAAGTGGCTTTAAGGAAATCAATATTTCAGAAGAGATCAAATTTCTATAATTTTTATACAGATTTATTTCATTCAAAATTGCATGAGTGCAAATCTCATTCTTTAAATATTGAGGAAAAACAAACTATACTGCTCAGAGTACATTTGAACTGTTTTCATCTGTAATCAACACATTATTATAACATCTTTCTTCAAACTGTTACCTTGCATTATTATTGAATAATAATTATTTGAATAATTGAATAATAATTATTATCCAATTCCAGGTTGGCTTGACCATTGCACAACCTTACTGACATGATGGAAAGGTGGCCCAATGTTTCAGAAAATTATCAGCTTAGGGAAGGATACTATAGAATCAATCAGAATTATCATTTAAATTGCTAGTGTTTTTTAAGATTTCTCAGCAACAATTTAGGAAAAATGCAGTCAGTTCGCATTCAAAGACTCTATATTTTAAAAATTTACTCGAATATTAATTTTAAGGTCCTAAAATACACTGTATCAAATCTATTTTGATTCCCAAAAGCCAATGGTACAATTCTATGTGAAAGTGTATTATGACATGTTTCCATATTAAGGCTGTGTTTTATTCAAAAACAGTTTCTAAGAACTGAATGCATTTGGGTCAATATAAAAAGGGAAAAAAATGACATTGCCATAGGTGTATACTATAGGCTACCCAACCAAACAGAGGAAATAGATGGACTTTTTGCTAGTCTGTTAACTAAGATATGTAGGAAGCAAATCACAATAGTAATGGGGGACTTTAACTACCCTGACATCAACTGGGAGACAAACTCTGCACCAAGTGGAAGATCAAATAGATTCCTGACAAACCTAGCAGACAACTTTATCTCCCAAAAAGTAGAGAAGGGAACTAGGAGATCGGCCATAATGGACTTAATTCTTACTAAGAGAGATGAAATGATAGAAGGTGTTGAAGCCACAGGAACCTGGGGTGTGTGTGATCATGCAATATTGGAATTCAACATTATGCAAGCACAAGCAATAGAACATAGTCAAGCTAGAGTCTTAGAATTTAAGAGAGCTAATTTCAATAAACTTAGAGCTTGGGAAGGATTCTGTGGATGAGAATCCTCAAGGAGACAACAACTCAAGAAGCTTGGGAAATTTTGAAAAGTGAGATTATGAAAGCCCAGTCTAGCACAATACCAATGAAGAAGAAAAATAAAGGCTCTCAAAAGAAACCAGGATGTCTGCATAAAGAACTCTCTGATAAATTGAAAGACAAAAAGAACAAACATAAAAAGTGGAAATGGGCACATAACTAAGGCAGAATATCAGCAAATAGCCCGAGCCTGCAAAGATGAAGTGAGGAAAACTAAGACTCAAAATGAACTAAGGCTTGCGACAAAAGTAAAAAAATAACAAAAAATGCTTCTTTCAACACATAAAAAAAGAAAAAAGTTAAGGAAATAATTGGTCCATTAGTGGGAGAAAGTGGCAAGAAGGTGACAAGCAACAGGGTGAAAGCAGAACTATTCAACTAGTTTTTTGCATCTGTCTTTACACAAAGGGAAAAAGCAGTCTAGCCTATCAAAAACAGTACCATAAAAAACAGATTAGAAACACAAGTTAACATAGGCAAGAAAATGGTAAGCGAGTTCCTGTCCACCTTAAATGAGTTCAAATCACCAGGACCAGATGGATTACACTCCTAGGTTCTGAAGGAACTGGCAAATGTTCTGGGCCCAGTGCTCTTCAACATATTCATCAATGATTTGAATGAGAATATCGATGAGGAACTCATCAAATTTGCAGATGACACCAAGCTAGCAGGAATAGCCAACACTCCAGAAGATAGGCTTAGGATACAGAAGGATCTTGACAGACTTGAACATTAGGAACTATCTAACAAAATGAAATTCAATGGTGAAAAAATAAGGTTCTACATTTAGGCAAGAAAAACCAAATGCAGTTATAGTATAGGTGGTACCTTACTCAATAGTAGTAACTGTGAAAGGGATCTCAGAGTCCTAGTGGACAATGGCTTAAATATGAGCCAGCAGTGTGCTGCAGTTGCCAAAAAAGCCAAAAGTGCCAAGCTGCATTAACAGAGGGATAGAATCAAGATCATATAAAGTGTTAATACCACTTCACAATGCCTTGGTAAGGCCACACTTGGAATATTGCATCCAGTTTTGGTCACCATGATATAAAAAAGATGTTGAGACTGTAGAAAGAGTACAGAGAAGAGTAACAAAGATGATTAGGGGGTTGGAGGCTAAAGCATATAAGGAACAGCTGCTCGAATTGGGTATGTCTAGTTTAATGAAGAGAAGGACGAGGGGGGACATAATAGCAGTGTTCAAATATCTCAGGGGTTGCCATAAAGAAGAGGGAGTCAGGCTATTCTCCAAAGCACCTGAGGGTAGAACAAGAAGCAATGGATGGAAACTAATCAAGGAGTGAAGCAACCTAAACTAAGAAAAAAATTCCTGACAGTTAGAACAATTAATCAGTGGAACAACCTGCCTCCAGAAGTTGTGAATGCTCCAACACTGGAAGTTTTTAAGAAGAGACTGGATAGCCATTTGTTTGAAATGGTATCCTGCCTGAGCAGGGGGTTGGACTAGATGACCTCCAAGGTCCCTTCTAACTTTTAATTTTATATTATTGTTATTGTTATTATTACTGTTATCATTGCTATTGTTATTATTATTAATTTTGGACCTCAAGCATGCAGCTTCACTAAAATTATATTAAAAGGCTCCATTCTTGTCTTTGAGAGATCATATAGTGAGAAATAGATTCCTTTTTACATGGGTATATCAATTAAAACAAACCCAGATGAATGTCAAGAACAAAACAAAATCACAGAAAAAATGTTGAAATTATATATAAGTGTGCAAATTATTAATATACATATAATAAACATTGATATGGATATGTGGTATAATTTTAAAAATGCTTATGAGATAATAAACTACAACATCAAGATGAAAGTATAATGATACAGCAGAACATAATGTAAGGTAACTCATAATCTAGTGAAGAGAATTTGAGCCAAGGTGTTATAACAGTTAAGGTACCAAACTAGGATTGGATAAATTTAGATTCGAGTCCCCCCAGCTATAAAGTCTCACTTTTTCTTAACCCAAACTACTTCACTATCTTGTAACCATGAAGAATTACTGGAAGATGTTGCAGCAAGTTTTTGAATCCCTAAAGCAGGGGTGTCAAACTCAATCTCGTCACGTGATGTATCGTGACATATCGTGATGTTTTTTGCTTTTGAGTAGCTGGGGTGGGCATGGCCTGCATGTGACACATCCGGCCTGTTTGACACCCCTGTCCTAAAATAAATAAGTTTTTGTAAATCAACAGTAAGGCCTCAGTGTAGGCTTGGAAGAGAATGACTAGGTAATCATGCTGCAGATAATATATATCTATATATCTATATGTCTCTATCTATCTATCTATCTATCTATCTATCTATCTATCTATCTATCTATCTATCTATCTATCTATCTATCAAGAAATCTAATATTATTTTTCATATAATGGCATAAGTATTCAGATAATTAATAATGGGTAAATGGTTACCTGATTCACAATTCTTCTCATCCTCTCCCAGTATGCAGTCATCATATCCATCACATTTCCATTTTGCTGCTATGCAATGACCATTGGAACACTGAAACTGGTCTTTTAAGCACTCAGAGTCACAATATCTCTGATATAAAAACAGTGCAACTAATTTAATTTATATAATACCAATCAAATGTATTTGCAAGTAAAAGCTGGCCTTAAAGTTATTGGAGAATTCTTTGATTTTTACAACTGCAATAAGAATTGTCAATATTTTTAACAGTTACAAAAATAACTATCTGTAAAAAGATAGACTGACATAATTACATTTATTTTGTTCTTTATTTTTTTTTTTTTAAATATATATTCTGCCTTTCCTCAAAGCAGTGAGCAATGATGGCAGTTGTATCACATGTAATATTTTGAGTAGTGGAAATACATATACCCTCAGTGCTTATAGGGTTAAATCTTAAACTTGTTGTTTCTTTAGATGAAGGACATATTAATCTCAATTGAATCATATCTGTTAGCATTTTTCCTATAACATTTACTAATTCATCACAACAGATCTCCTACTTTTCCAGAGCAGCCAGTGTAGGAGGTGGGTCTGCCTATTTCTTGTTTGTGTCCAGTTCACATGTCTTTACCAGTAATTCTGAATCATTATATATCCATAAATCAACAGATTCTTTTTTAAAATGTGTTTTTGATAGATTTAGTTATCTCTTTGTATTAGCCATTGAAACATAATGTTCATGGGGCAAGTTTCTGGAATTGCTCACATTTTCCAGCAATTGGGCTTAGAAAGAATTTTTGGGCAACAGCAAGCTTATTTGATCAGAAATAAACATGTATTTGATTGTAAACTACCCAGGGTCACTTACTGTAGTTGAGATGGGTAGTATAGAAATTTCATAAACAAAATAATAATAAATAAATTGCCTACATTTTTAAAACAATTTTAGGCTAAAAAGTATTCTTTAAAGTCTTGCTGCCACAGTCCCAGAATGACATAGCATTTATAACATGAAGTTATCTCTTCTCATTCTGGTTTTATTTCTTGGCAATGAAGTGTCCTAGGGACCATTATAGCCCATCACTTTCTCACTGGACAAACCCTTTTATTTAATGATAGTATTGCCTAAATAGATGTTATGATTTCTTTTGAAAAGTAAAGACTGTTGTGCTGATGTAAAGAATTATAGTTTATTTTTGAGCCCAATCCACCATTGTTTTCTTGTTATTTATATTCGTCTTCTTTACTTTTTCTCTTTGTCCTTTATCACTTACCCATTCACAACTATCTCTCACTCCAGATTTTCTCCTCCCCAATACCCTTATTAGGAAGTACCTTATTGGAATACAAATAAACTCTCCTTTCATCATATTTCTCACATTCATTTATCTGGAAATAAAACCACCTATTTTTGTGTTTGGACAGAGTATTAAGAAGGGGAAGTATATTTCCTGGTTTTCTTTTCTCTCAGTTATTCATTTTTGCCTGTTAAAATGCAGTCTTTTCTTCCTCCAAGCATCTAGAAATCAAAGTGCAGGCTCTTCACTTGCTGACACAAGGCCATTCACACTACTCATGCATTATCCAGGTATCGTGATTGGAGCATGTCATCAAAGGCAACCTTTTCTCCATGGTTATTGTACAGATTGGATGTCAGTATGCGTGATGGTTTTTGTTTTACTATCTATTGTCCATTATTGTCTCTGCTCCAAACAATAAGACATACTTTTATTCAGGGATCATCCTTCCCAATTAATTCCCAATTCCCAATCACTGATTTTTAAATTCAGAAAGTTGTTTTTATGGTTTTCCTAAGTAAACTGCCCAAAGTAATGCATACTGTAATCTTTTATGCCTTGCAGATGGTATATGTGACCTATAGTCTTCCCTCTGGATTTCTTACACTGTTATGACTACCTGATTCCTCATGATGTACCTCCAGTAAGTAACAAAATAGATGATTTGGAAATCTACAACCAAATACTACTTTACCTCATCTGAACCATCTGCACAGTCATAATCACCATCACACCAGAATCTTGCAGACATGCAGTCTCCATTTGAGCAGTGAAAATCCTTCTGAGTGCATGTCTGTGGTTCTGAAAAAAGGAAAAATTCTCTAAAGTCTAATCATTTCAACTGCTTGTTTCTCTCAGTTCTTAAACAGGAACATACTACCTGCTTGTTACTGAAATATAAATGATGAACGGAGAAATAGGAATCTGAGGTGCTATGCGTGCTGCCTTGAACGTTTGATGGAACAGTGGGATATAAATCCAATATAGGAATAAATACTCTGCTTCCACTCTGGTTCCTCTACAACTGATATTTGCTGCTTAATGTTCCCAACTCAGAAATCACACTGAGTTTTCAAAACTGACAGCCTTTGATAAATTTGGTTTCTATGAATTATCCAATCACTTTTTAAAAGCAAGAAATTAATGGCCATCGTCACATTTTATGGTTGAATTCCTCAGGTTATATATGGATTCTGGCAAAGAATTGCTTTCTTTTGCCTGCTTTAAATCTTCCTCTAATCAAATTCACTTGATAGCTCCCAGTCCTAATGCTTTAAAAGAGGGGGGGGGGGAAACCTCTACTAGTCACTTTCTACAGATCATAGATACCATATTTTAAAGTGAAGGGAACTAAAATTCTTACTTCTTAAAAGCAGAAAGAAAAGGGACTGAGCACAATTCCTAAGAGAATCATGGTTTTCCATTAATTTATCCCTGAGGTGAATTGGGCTGAAAGATGTTTCTTCAAGTCATCCCCTGAAACTTATAGTCGAGTGGGAACACCTAAGTCACTGGCGTCTAAGTCGAACACCTTAGTCATTATGTTCCTTTTCATATAGATTATAATTAGGAAGAGGAAAACTGGAATTTATGTCCTGTACAACTGAAATACATAAATGACTTGGAATGCCAAAAGCATGACGAAAATGCCTTACAAGGATTCTAACAATCTGCTGGAACCAAGACATCACAGACACTTTATATTATGTCATTTCTTTCTGCAATAAAATCCTGCCTCAATCCATAGAAATTCCAAGTGATTTACAAAAAAATAAAACATTATAAAACAATAACAAACACTATCCAATTATTATAGTAACAGTAGATTACTTTAACCATAGTTGCACCATAGCTTGATATAAGGACATTGCAGTGTTGGATTTTTTTTTTAAACTTCAGCCCAATTCCTAATGGACTCTACAGTGGAATTTCCCTTGTTCCCAATTGCTGCACCATAATTTCACTGAACTATCCACTATGACCCTAATTATGACATAAGATATAGGCACTTTAAACCACATCAATTGATATTTGAATTAGCTTACTTTGTCCCCCAATGTACATGTGTTTATACTGCTTTAAACAACATTGCATTTGCCATTTGGTTGACCAAATTTGAAGAGTTCCTTCTAGACTTTTTCACAGCCATTTTTGTTGATTGAATTGTTTGGTATCTTCTGCAAACCATGTCAGATCACTGTTTACTCCTAAATTAGGATAATTGATCAAAATGAAAAGCACTGGTCTCAGCATTGAACCTTGAGAGTTTCTACTTACTACTGAAAAAAAATGCTAATTTATTCCTATACTGCTTTCTGTCTGACTAATTAGCAATCCCCCCCCAAAAAAAATGGCGGGACTGCTTTAGTCATAACACAAAAGCTTTTGATAAGGAATTTTATCAAAGACTTTGGAATATCCTCTAATAATTTATAGGCTTCAAAAAATGTGGCAAAATTGTTGTATAGTTCAGCTGATTTCGGTATAGGTATGATGAAGTGGCTTTTGTCTGCAATTTTAATAATAATGTATTTTAGTATATTAGCAAAAAAAAATCAATATATTTTTGCTATTGTAGATTAAAATGGCAACACATTAGGAATTGATTTAAGTACTAGGACATGGCAAGCAAAATGTCTGTAAAGGAACAGGGATGGAATTTAGGGTGGGGATTGCTGAATTGTGACTGGCAAAATTCTCTGGAGAAAGGAGAGATTGTGAGACTGCCCACATGTACTCCAGAGAGCCATTCCTCAACAGTAGACTTCAGGAGCCATGGTCAGTTTAATCAAGCATCTAAGAATTGAGGAATTCCATCTAAGATCACAATCATAATGTAGCCTTTATAGACAGAAAGCTTGACCAAGCATTCTGTTGAATAATTTTGTAATGTTTTTTTTAAATATTAAGAACATTTAGAACAAGTTTTTATCACATTTACCGAATCAGTCTCCTCCTTAATGAAACAAGTTTTAAGTATAAGTTTAAGATTTTTATTTTTTTTAAAAAAAATACTTTTTGGAATAAAGAGCAAAAGGGTATTTAAAATGTTGATTTTGGAAAGTTAAAAATAGACTAAAGGTCCAGATGGATTTGAAATAAAACTTTGAAATTAACTATAACAATCTTTCCTGTAGGGAAATTATTATTCTTTGGATTCCTTAGTGGGGAAAAGGGTGGGAAGGAGTAGGGAAACATGATAGGATGGGACTTTAAAGGTTGGACCTTAGAAATTGTTAGCATAAATTAAAGTTTTCAATTAAATGAGAAGAATACTTAAACTCACCTTGTTAATACACAATGGAGTAAACTATTTTAATAGTTAATAGACTTTTTAAATGATATTTGTGAATAATGGATTCAGAAGTTAATTTTAAGAACGTCTGGAACAGATGGAATGTAAATGATGTTACAGATGAGCAAGCTCTACCAAACTAGATTGAAATGATTTGATTTGAGTGTGGGCTTAAAAATGACAACTTTCAAGAATGATATGGAAAAAGATATTACATTGGACATACAATGAAACCAGCTTATGTGTTAATAATTAAAAGGGACATAGAAGTAACAAACCAGAAAAGTGAATTGGATATCTTTTATATACTGGATTTAAAAAAAAAATCCTAATGAGCCATGAGGGCAGTTGGAGTGAGAGAACGTGATTGGCCCAAAGTCACCCAGCCTGTTTTTCACACCTCAAGCCAAACTAGAATTCACAGTCTCCTGGTTTCTATGCTACCATACCAACAAACAAAAAATTAGACACAAAACCCCTAAGTTTATTTATTTAATCAAGATTAAAATAGATATTCAGGAACCTTTAAAAAATTTTTGCTATGTAGGATTGAATTATGAGGTTTTAAGATTTTGTTTATAGTTAAGAGATGAGATATGGGAAGAAAAGAGAATTTATTGTATTTTAAAAGAAGGTGATAAATTATTAAAATTGTTTACTCTTGTGATGAGGGGAAAATTTTATATATATATCTCTTCTGCAGTTTCTAATTTTTAAATTTTTATTCTTACATCTTTTAATTTATATTAGTTTTTTATGTTTTCAATTGTAATCTTTCATAAAATTATTATAAAATTGGGAATTATTTAAGCGCCCATAATATTTTAATGAGGCTAGAACATTTTTAGAAAAAATAAATTATTAAAATAGAAAATTATAATCAGCAGATTTTATCTTTAATATTATTAATAATTTATCTAAAGTATTAAGGTAAAATAAATGCCTTTTAAAAATAGCAGAAACAAGACTATAACTGCTTTCCCTTTTTTGGTAGAATGATTTACAAATTTACAATTGTATGAGCGTTGCAGTTCAATTCTCACCAGGCTCAAGGTTGACTCAGCCTTCCATCTTTCCCAGGTCAATAAAATGAGGACCCAGACTGCTGGGGGCAATATGTTGATTCTGTAAACTGCTTAGAGAGTGCTGTAAATCACTGTGAAGTGATATATAAGTCTAAGTGCTATTGCTATGACATTACTTACTGCAGTTTTCTTCATCAGAATTGTCACCACAATCATTTTGACTATCACATCGCCAATGATCTGGAATGCAGTTGCTATTCTTGCACTGGTATTCATGAGGGCCACATGTCTTTTTATCTGTCACAAAAATTTATACTATTTTTGTTAACATACTTCTAAATATGCATGACCGTAAATAAGAAAAATGCATTGCAAATTACCAGTTATCACATTTTAAACAACATTTCAGAAGTAAAAGCAATAAATACTAAAAAAAGAACCATACTACAATGCAAACTTTATAAGGAGAAGGGGAGAGAAAGAGAAAAAATAACTTTTGGATTAAATCTTTTGATAAATAAACTAAATTTCTGGGTTGTATCAGTATAATTTAGATAAATTTTGGAATAAACCAATTTTACTCCATTAACACCCCTAGATAAAACAATCTATTTTGGCATTAAACTGCACTAAGAAATAATGCAGCAAAATGTGTCATCCTCAATCTTTCATGGAATTTATGAATTCATTTGACAGTAAATAACAGAATGTTTAATGTATTAACATCATTATGACATTACATTATAATCTGATATTCTTCTGTTAGTGAAAGTAAGGAGAAGAAGAAAATGATCAAAGGCAAGTTGCATTAATTCAGTTACAGTGGCAATGAGTGCACAATTGGAAGATCTGAAGTTAGGGACAAATCGTTAAGGGCAGAAACAGACTAGAAGTCCTCCAAGGTCCCTTATTTTGTTATTCTACTAAGAATCAATCTATGAGGTCATAATCAATCAACAAACAATCAATCTTCTGATTGATGGGTGGCCATATCAATTAGATAAATAAATGTCATAAGGCATTATAAGCAAAATGATTCTTCAGGTTGATAGCCAATAATATTATTTTTCTAAATATGCCAATTTTGAATAAATAAGAAAATCATAGGAAAAATTAAATTTCCTATTAGTTGTTTACAGTACTCACCACAATTTGCTTCATCAGATCCATCAGCACAGTCTGGATCCTCATCACACACCCATAGTTTAGAAATACAGTGCTTTGTGGTTTTACACTGAAAATGGTCAGGAGAACAGCTGTTTTCCGCTTTAAAATAAAATATGAAAGAGGTGTATTTATAAAATGAATTAAGATGATCAGTCAGCATCAAAAAGTGTTTTTAAATTCTATATATCTTTTTGAATGCCTTTTTAACCCAGCTATTAAAAATAAGCTATTACTTCAAACTAATTTATCAAAGTAAATTCAGCAATATACTTTATTGCAAGGTATAGTACTTTAACAAAATATATTATATTTGATTAATATAAAGATACACTGTCCTTTTATACTGAATTTAAATATCTTATTAAATATAAGGTCTTTGGTTGTTCGGGTTTTCTCCCGCGTAAAATTGGAAGTGTCCTGGCGACGTTTCGACGAAGTCCCATGCGTCATCTTCAGGCTGGTGTTTTCAGCTTCGTGCTACGAGCAGCAAAAAAAAAAAAAAAAAAATCTCAGATTTTTTTGCTGCTCGAAGCACGAAGCTGAAAACACCAGCCTGAAGATGACGAATGAAACTTCGTCGAAACGTTGCCAAGACACTTCCAGTTTTATGCGGGAGAAAACCTGAACAACCAAAGACCTACATACAAATACCCGCGAAAACCTCAGAAAACAAATATATATATATATATATATATATATATATATATATATATATATATATATATATATATTTTCTGAGGTTTTCGCGGGTGTTTGTATGTAGGTCTTTGGTTGTTCGGGTTTTCTTCCGCGTAAAATTGGAAGTGTCTTGGCGACGAAGTCCCATTCGTCATCTTCAGGCTGGTGCTTTCAGCTTCGTGCTTCGAGCAGCAATGTGTGGTCTTAGCTGTTTCTTCCTTTTAACTGCCAGTGGGGGTATGAACTGATTGGGTGGGAGCTTGGCTGTGTTCTGATTGGGTGGAGGTGTGTTCTGATTGGTTAGGGGCGTGGCTGTGCTCTGATTGGCTGGGGGGTTGGCTGTGCTCTGATTGGCTGGGGGGTCGGCTGTGCTCTGATTGGCTGGGGGAGTGTTCTGTTTGGTTGTGCTCAGGTTAGTCTGAGTTGCAGAGGGGTTTAAGATTTTGGGCTGCCTTGCTATTTTTTGGCTTCGCGTTTGTGGTCGTGCCTCATTTTCATGGAGGGTGTCAGTTTGCTTCATGTATGGATTGGAGGGCTTTAAAGTGGCTAATGATGCAGCTCTGGTCTGGCTTCTGGTTTGTGGTCGTGCCTCATCATCGGTGCGGCTTTGGGTTTGCTTTTTGCGTGGATGTGTGGTGGTGACATCCTGTGTGGTTTTTGTGAGTGTGGGTCTGGTATCATTTTTTGTGTTAGGGAGTCGTTTGTCAATAAGGGCGGGTTTCCAAATGGCTGGTAGGCGGGAGGTATCATCTCGCTTGTTCATGCTGTGTGGGCGTTTTTCTATCTCGATGGCTTCTCTGATTATTCTGTTATTAAAATGTTCACTTTTGGCAATGGTTCTGGTATTTTTAAAGTCAATTTCATGTCCTGTGGCTTTAAGGTGTTGGACCAGGGAAGATGTTGGTTCCTCTTTTTTGACTGAGTTCTTATGTTCTTCAATGCGTGCACTTATTCTTCTGTTGGTTTGTCCGATGTATGTGGTGGGACAAGTGGTGCATGGGATTTCGTATACTCCTTGATTTTCTAATTCAATTTTATCTTTGGGGTTTCTAAGGATGGTGGATATTTTTCTGTTTGTGCAGAATGCTGTTTTGATGTTGTGTTTATGGAGGATCTTACTGATTCTGTCTGTGGTGCCTTTTATGTATGGGAGGAGGGCTTTGCCGTTTTCTTGTTCTTCGTCTTGGATTTTAGTGGGGGTTTCTTTTTGGATTAGGTTTGTAATCTTATTTCTTTGGAATCCATTGGATGTTAGTACATTGGTGAGAGTGTGTAGTTCGGTTTTTAGGTGTTGTTCGTCAGCTAAGCGTTTTGTTCTGGAGATGAGTGTCTTGGCTACATATATATATATGCCTTTGAGGGTGACTGCCTGGACTAGTCCCTGCTGTTTTCATAGCTAAGGTTTTTTTTTGTTTTTGTTCTGAAATTACCATTCTCTCCTTCCTAAGGTTGAAATAAAGTAATTGGCCTCAAGTCGTCCAGCTGTCTTTGTGCCTAAGGCAGGACTAGAACTTACAATCACTTGGTTTCTAGCCTAGTGCCTTAACCACTACCCCAAACTCACTCTCATATATGGTTATTCAAAAGTAAATCAAATTGGATGAGTTTGTTCCCATCATATAGGATCCTACTTTTAATTATTTTACTTTAATATAATTTAGTAGTTTAATCTATTTTTAGGACTTGAATTTGACTAGACAAGTGGAAAATAGCATTTATAGAAATAAACTATATACAACCTTTTTTTAAAAAAAAAAACATTCTTTTGAATGTTTCCTGCCATTGATATTAGTATTAGCTAGCATACTGAATTAACTTTGGTAAGAACCAACAGTATCTGTCCAACATCTGGATCTTAACACTTAGACTATGACTTATTTTGTTTCTTACCATAGATATTCCCAGATATTCAGCTGGATATTATTCCCTCTGTGCTAAATAAAACTGTTATATTATAAAACCACGTGTAAACCAGGGCATTATTGTTTGTTCGAAAAAACAGCTGTTAAAAATAAGTGCTTAGTAGTAACATTTACTATCTACATATTTACATAAATTTAGAGACTGACTAAAAGTGTAATTGCATACAACAGCAGACTGATGATGCCAGATCCCAAATCAGTAAATAACTTGACCGGGAAATTTCATATAAAAGTTTTTTAAAAAAGAGCGTTAAGTCTTGTGGAATCCCACAGATAAAAGGCATTCATCACCTCCATCAATATTGACAAGAACTGACTATAGAGAAATGAAAAACAGCATCCAGAAATATACTGTAATTAATAGTACTGAAAGTTGCTAAGTGCAGAATTCACTGAGGCATGTTAGCTTCCTGAAGAAGGGACATAGTGCCCCTTCCTTTATAAGCTGATACTACTGCACGAAACCAATCTGAGGTCATTTTGTGGGAAGCTTTAGGATGTAGGGACCTGAGTTTAATAAACGGGTGATTAAGACACCTGGTTCTAATAAACAGGAGGCTGAATTCAGAATGTGAAAGATTCTGCTCACTTCATCAGGAGTGTTCAGATAAACACCATAATACCAAGCCTAGGCACCTAAACTGGACTTGCCCAGCAAATTGAAAGGCAATCAGAGAGAGATCTGACCACAGTAGTGGACTGATGGAAACATCCTTTATTACCAAAGCACATTACAGTTGCCCAGGACAAAAACCAGGTCCAAACTGCAAACACTAATATGCATTGGTTCCTTGATGACTTGAGACAGGTCTGTAGTTGCTATGTAGGCCAAGAATTCCTGGCCCCTGTTCAAAGACATTTGGTAGCAAAATGAAATCTCCAAGGGCTAACCAGCCATGGGGTCTCCATAGCCAACCTATGGAGAATGTAAAAAATTAGATAATATAGAGAATCAGGGAGATGAGGGGAATCAGGGAAATGGGCAAGAACTGTTATATGAGCTAAAAGGCTGAAACATTCCTTAGGTCCTGGGAAACAAGATAGCATTCAGAATTGTTCAGGAAGGTTCTTTCCCAATTCACTAAGATATAAGAGAGAAGTGAGGTAAAGCACAGACAGGCTTACAAAGATCTAGCCTATCACAATAAAGTACAGTTCTAGTCTTCCTGTGGAATCTGTTTTGTACTCTGATGTAGCTGAAGGGCTAATAAGCAGGGATGATGTTCTGCAGCAGGGCGGGTGATATAACAACAATAATCCTAAATGTTTTCTATAGCCCATCTTCATCTAGAGGGTTTCACATTCAGTTAACTACAGCACAGGGCCAGTGACAGCCCTCAACAATTTATGAATGATAACAACCACCTTTTTCTACTTTCTTGGGTCCTTGACTATTGTTAAACTCCTAAATTGGGAAAGTGCATTTCCAAACCCAAATTTGGCCAGGTATATTTCCTTCCTCTGGGCATTCCAAGTGTCAATTATACTTATTACTTTGGCTGATCTATCCATGTAGACATCTCCATATAGAGATTTATTACAAACCAACTTGATATTCAGAAGCAACATCAGGAGCCCAAGGCCCCCAAGGATCTGATATCCCAGTATAGAATGGAATACTAAGGCTTGGACATTGGAGTACTCTCAATTAGCAGTCTCAGCATGCCTAAGAAAGTCTCACGCTCAGATTTCCACCATACCTATCCTTGCTTGTCACATTTTCAATATTTTTGCCTGCCTTTTCCTCCAGATCCTCCCATTCCTTGCTCTCACCTCTCAAGACAAAACACTCTTAACTCTCACTCATTCATCTGATCTTATCCCACCCCTCAATGAACCTACACAAATAACTATAGTCACTCTAATCCTTCATAAAAACAGCAGATCTGGTCATTTCTGCATTCAGGCACTCAGCAGCCTGCATGGTATGCAGGTTCTGTGACACCTCTACTATCCATCCCATCATCCTATAACAACTTTCCCATCCTAAGTGGACAAAAATATTACAGACATAAGTAGCTGCTTGGGTAACAAAGACTCTAGTTCAGAAGTCCAGCAAAGAGATTTCAACAGGCCAGTGCCTAGAAGTCAACATAAATGGCAGCTAGTCAAAGCCATTGGAGGCATCCAAATAATTTAGGTAGGGTCCTAGAAAAATCATCCACCAACATTCTTTAATCACTCCAGCTCCTTCCTACCCTACAATAGGACGCTCCCTCAAATTTGTCCTCTCTGGCAAAAAAGTATCCTATGGGTCTGGGCTACCATCTATATATGACTATGCAAAATATCTATCTGGAATCATCTTTAGCTTTCTGTTTTATGATCAATGTGTCTTTTTATATGGCATGACTGCTATGTTTGAGATTTCTGATTTTTTACATATCTAAGAAAATGACTTACGACAATCTCCTTCGTCTTCTTCATCACCACAATTATCTTGTCCATTACACCTGAGATTTATTGGGATACATTTCTGATTCTTGGTGCACTTAAATTGACCTGGTAGGCAAACATGTGTGTCTGGAGGTTGGGGATAGGGAAGGAAAGAAAAGAAGGTAACGACATAAAAAACATGCACACAAATAATCCTCATATCATATTGTTTTTTCTTAATTAAGAATTACGTTTTTTATTTTTATTAACCATTAATTGTTATTATAATTTAAACATTCATTAAAATTATTTTCTTAATAAATTCAATAAAAAGCAAAATTTTGATAGAACATTTATAATACAGCATTGTGTCCAACCTAACACTATTTTAAAAGTGTAAGATGGATTTCTTGCTATAACTATTGTACAAGTACTAGTCAAATAACTAGTACAGGATCTAATTAGTAATGAATTATGAAAGCATTTGCAAAATGGTTGTACAAGTAGAATAACATAAAATAACAGGGTTGGAAGGGACCTTGGATATCTTCTAGTCCAACCTCCTGCTCAAGCAGAGACCCTATATCAGGGTGTCAAACTGCTGGCCCATGGGCCGGACACGTCACGCGGAAACTGTGCCCACCCCAGTCCCGGCAATGGCAAACCAGTCTTGATACGTTGCGCGACATCACGTGACATCGTGAGTTTGACATGTCTGCCCTATACCATTCTGGACAAATGGTTGTTCAATCTCTTCTTGAAAACCTCCAGTGATGGAGTACCCATAACTTCTGGAGGCAAGCTGTTCCACTGATTGTTTTCACTGCCAAGAAATTCCTCCTTATTTCTAGATTGGATCACTCTTTAATGATCTTCCATTTGTTACTTCTTGTCTTGCTTGCTTTGGAGAATAGATTGACCCTCTCTTTTCTTTGATAGGCCCTCAAGTATTACAAGACTGCTAACATGTCACCCCTGGTCCTTCTTTTTGATAGACTAGATATAGACTAGCTAATTCCTGTATGGTTTAGTCTTGTCATCTTTGCTGCTCTTCTCTGCACACTTTCTACAGTATAAGCATCATTTTTCTAATTATCATGACTGAACTGGATATAGCATTCCAAGTATGGTCTTACCAGTGGAATATAAATAGGTACTATCATTTCATGTGATCTCAGTACTATCCTTCTGTTGATATAGCTTTTGACTGTATTAGGGTTTTTTTGATAGGTGTAGCACACTGCTGGCTCATATTTCAGTGGTTGTCCACTAGGACACCTAGATCTCTCTCATATTACTACTGTTAATCTAAGTACCACTTATTCTATACCTGTGCACTTGGCTTTTCTTGCCTAAGTGTAAGATATTACTTTTCTCACCGCTGAATTGTATTTTGTTAGATAGGGCTCAATCTGAGTCTGTCTTCTAAAGCAGACATGTCAAACTTGCAATGTCATGTGACATCGCACAACATATCAGAGCTTTTTCCCCATTGCCGGCAATGGGGTGGGTGCAGTTTCCTCATGACGCATCCGGCCCATGGGCTGGCAGTTTGACACCCCTGTTCTAAAGTGTTGGCTATTCCCCCAGCTTGGTGTCACCTGCAAATTTGATGAGTTCCCCTTTTATCCCCTTGTCTAAATCATTTGTGCAGATGTTGAAGAGCACTGGGCCTAAGTCAGAAATTTAATGTAAACACTGCATGCTTCCTTCCATTTAGATGAAGTTCCACTGAGGACTACAGGTTGAGTGTTGTTGGTTAGCCAACTGCGAATCCCTGTGCTGGTGATGTTATCTATCCCACATTTTTCTATCTTACTGAGAAGTAGGCTATGATCTACTTTGTCAAATGTCTTACTGAAGTCTAAATAAATTAGGTCCACAGCTTTTCCCCCAATCCACTAATTTAGTCATGTCAAACAAGACAATAAAGTTTGTCTGGTATTACCATGTTGGCTTCTAGTAATCCTTAGATAGATTGTTTTTAAGTGCTTGCAAATCTGCTGCTTGATTACCTTTTCCAGGATTTTCTCAGGTATTGATTGAGGCTGCTTGGGCTGTAGTTTCCTGCATCTATTTTTTCTTGATTTGAAGACTGGAATCAGATCAGTTCTTTTCCAGTACTCTGGTAGTTCCCCAGGGCTCCAGGAGCTCTGAAAGTTTTTGTTCAGGAGTTCTGTGATTGGGTCTGCTAGCTCCTTCAGAATTCTATGATGTAATTCAGCCTGCCCTGATTATTTGAACTCATCTAGATAGGTGTTCTGGACTATTTTTACATGCATTCCTATTCACTCTTCTATGGTTTTAATGCAGAAGACAGATTGATAAATTGGACTATTTTTCCTTTTGCATGAAGGCAGATAAAAAGAATGAATTAAGCAGTTCTGCTTTCTCCCTGCTACCCATCATCTCCTTGCCATCTTTTCCGATTAGTGGGTGGATCATTTCTTTGTTTCTTACATGTTTAAAAAAACTTTTTATTATTTCTTTTGGCATTTGTTGCAAGTCTTAGTTCATTCTAAGCCTTAGCTCTCCTGACTTTGTTCTTGCAGATTTGGGTTATTTGTTGACATTCTTTTTTAAGTTACGTGTTCCTCTTTCCATTGGTTTATTTGTCCTTTTTGTCTCTCAGTTTACCAGAGAGTTCTTTATGCAACCATATTGGTTTCATTTGCGGGGGTGTTGTCTCTTGTTTTTCTTCTCTGTGGTATTGTGTTAGACTGGGCTTTTACAGTCTCATTTTTTTCAGAACATCTTGAATTGTTTTCCTCTTTAGGATTTCTATTCATGGAATTCTTCCTAAACTCTTTCCTGAACTCTAAGTTCCAAGTTTGCTGAAGTTGGCTTTCTGAAAGTCTAAGACACTACTTTGACTTCATTGAATTATTTGTGACTGCATTAGGTTGAATTCTAGTGTGACATGGTCACTCTCCCCCAAAGTTCCCACAACCTCAACCCCCTCTATCATTTCATTGTTGTTAGTAAGATTTAAGTCCAGTATAGCTGACCCTCTAGTTCCCTCCTCTACCTTTTGGGTAACAAGATATCTGCTAGGTTCATCAGGAACCTGTTTGATATCCTATTTGGTGTAGAGTTTGTCTCCCAGATGATGTCAGAGGACTTACAGTCTCCCATTAGTACTGTGGTATGTTTTCCAAACATCTTAGCTGACTGAATAGCAAAAAGTTCATCTTCTTCCTTTGCTTGGTTGGGTGGTTTCTAGTATACACCTATGGCAATGTCATTCCTTTTTCCTTCTATATTAACCCAAATCCATTCAAGAAGATTTTCAGCTATGGTTTTGTGCATTTCTGTAGAAGTTTAGTTATTTGCTACAAATAATGCAACTCTACTTCCTCTTTTGTTAGCTCTGTTTCTTTTGAATAATTTAAAGCCTTTTAGCAGTATATTCCAGTTTGGGGTTTCATCTCACGAAGATTTGGTAATGGCAACAATGTTGAACCTGTTCTCATATACTAGCATCACATTTGCCCTGTTTGTTCCTTATACTTCAAGCCTTAGTGTATAGATTTTTGAGACCTTCTTGACTGAAATTGCATTTGCTTCCTACTTTATATCTGAGTTCTCCTTCCTTTTTATCACTCCTTATCTCATTGTTTGATTGGCTTTCTTGAGGTTTATGCTTGGGATTCAGTCCTAAAGATCGGTCTCCCTCCCCTTTCAGTTTTAGTTTAAAGCACTTCAGATAAGCTGAGCCAGCTGTCTTCCTTGTTCTTTTGAGGTATAGTGCATCTTCTGCCAGAAGCCCTTTATGCAGGTAATATAGACCATGGTCTAGAAATCCAAAGTTCTCTTAATGGCACCATTATTTAAGCCAGTGGTTTACTTCTAAAATCCTTTGTTCCCTAATTAGATGTTGACCTTCCATTGGAAATACAGATGAAAGCACCACCTCTTGTCTCTTTGGGTTTCATGCCTAGCTGTTCATAGTATAATATTGTTTTCAAGCTTTTTGTTGTATCATCTATCCCCATATGAAATAGAAGAAAAGGACAATAATCTGTGGGCTTAATTATTTTAGTAAGTCTCTAGGTCACATTTTTGCTCTTTGCTCCTGGAAGACAGCATACCTCCCTTGATAGATTGTCTGGTCTGCAGATTGCTAATTCCATTCCTCTGAAAAATGAGTTTCCTATTACCAACTCACACTCTTTTCTTCCTGTCACTAGTGTGCTTGATAATGTCCCTTTGCCAAATATCTGCATGTTTTCTTCCAGGGGTAGGAGATAAAGTTGATTGTTCAGCTCCAGCAGGACTGGACTGAACTGGGCTGGACTACAGGGACATTGTTTTAGATTTTTTTTCTATGTGTCATTTTGCCATCAATTATCTCTAAAGTTTCATTTTTCTGATAGTTGTTCTTTAATGTGTTAATGTCTTCCTTTAGTTGGAATTTATCATTTTGCTGTTTGAATCTCAGAGTGGCTAGATTTGCCTCTAGATCCTTTACTTTTTCCTTGAGTAATTCATTTAATTTACATTTGGTAGAAATTTAATTTGTGTCTTCTATTGGCATGAATACATACATGGCACTTATTCTGCAAATCACAACAGTGTTAGTCTTTTTTAGTGACTATTTGTTTTTCCATGACTGTTATTTTTCTTGCATACGGTCCCAACAATTCCAATGTAGGATCCCTTATTTCTTTTACAATTTGGTTTAATACAGGATTTTATTTTTTTTAACAATCTTTTCCATACTGTAGCCTTTGGTTTTTTAAAAATTGGTCATTGCTTCCTCTTGTGGTTAATGTTGAAATAACACCTGAATATTAGTGTTGGAGTAAACTTTAAACTTAACACATCAAAGACAGATCAGATCATCTTCAAAATATAGTTTGTAATCCACGGAAAGAAGAAGCAAAAAGAATAAAAGGAAAAAAGGCTCTCAGTTCACAGTTATTGTAAAAGAATATAGAAAATAGTATTTTTTTTGTTCCTAGTAGTTATGTCAGGGTCTTATTTTTTTTAGCAGTATTTCTAATTTTGCCTATTTTTGGGGTACCTTCTTTTTTAATTTTAAAAAAAACTTAAAGATTTATAAATTTAGTTTTTTTAAAAATTAAAAATTAAATTTAAAATAGTTTTATGAAGGAATTTAATTTTATGATAATAAATTGGTCTAATTTTTAATCAGTTATTTTCTTTATTTTTTTAAAAAAATCTAAAAATTCAAAAACCTAAAAATTTTATAATATACAATATACAAAATTTTAGAATACAAATTTCAATTTTTTTAAAAAAAATTGTTTATGCAGTGTTTTATTTTTTAATAATCACTCTTGAGTTTAATGCTGAAATAATGCTTAAAAGTGAATCCTCTGCTCCCTCTTGTGGCTAGTGTTTAATTTCCTCTTATGGCTAGTGTTGAAACAGTCTGTTAATGTAAAAGTGTAAATTGTCCTTCCTTTACTTCTGTGTAAAGTTTGGTTGTCGCTATTTTGACATGTTGCATTGCTATTTCATATTCCATTGCACCAATGTGGTTCCTACCATTCTCAGCCAACATGCCGCATGTCCCAATTACATTTTGATGCCATTCCTTCTTCTTCAACTCTTTTTCTCTTTCCATTACGTCACTAACTTTTTTTTTATAACTTTACTTTTCCTGCTTTTTTGTCTCCTTCTTCTTTACTCTAAGCACCTTCAGTTGCACATGCTGCCACTGCTGTTGTCAATGTTAGTTGTGTCCCTGGGCTTTGCCACTCCTCAGTTGCAACTCACAGTCATGTGGCTGCTGCCGCCACCACTGCCACTTGTTGCGCCCACTGCCAATGCCACCATTGCCACCTTTCCTCGTCCTCCTATTTCCTTCTCTTGCTTTCCTTGTTTTCCTTCTCCTTTTCCTCCTTCCTTTGGTTCTTTAACTTTTTAACTTCATTTAACTTTACTTCTTTTAAATGATTTAAATTATTAAATTATGTAGAGCATAATTTATGGCAGCCATTCCGAAATTGGGAAAGGGGAATCCTGTCTTGGCATTTACTTAAATAATACTTTGATTATTTGCCTTGCCATGTAAGAGAATTTTCAAATATAATTATTTTTCAATCTGTTAAATTTCTTAATACACAGCAGTACTGGCCGCATCAAATAATTCAAGATTTTAGTTAATCAGAGTGAAAACTCCAAATGAGCCTTATTAAAAAAATAGGTCTTTTATTCTTTTGTTGAATCAACCTGAGAGATACATTTCTTAAAATATTACACTGATATATTGTAGGACTGTATCCATCTCTGTTCATTTCTGATCAAAATTTCTTCCACACAAACACAATTCTCCTGAAGGTTAAATTGTCCCTTACATATTACACGAGGAGTGTTTTCAGCACATATATAGGATAGCAGTGAACAATATTCTCTCAGTTGTCCAATATGTATTTCTTTTATATCATTTAATGACTCACCACAGTTAAGTTCATCTGAGCTATCTCCACAATCATTTTCCCCATCACATATAAAAGCTGGTAAAACACAGAGACCAGTTCCACATTGAAAACGTCCTGGTTGACATTTAAATTCAGCTGAAAAAGAAAGGGAGGTTTAGAATGCTACATATTTTGGTAATAAAGTGAAATTGGGGCTTTTCTAACATTCCCAGAAATTCTATGCAATAAAGATAGGCAATTAAATCATATATGGTAAGAATTTTTGAATACAGATTCAAAAATATCTGATTCCTCAGCCTATTTAATCATAATGTTCTCTTCTAAGACACAGTCAGTTTTTTAAAAAATATATTTTATTAGATTTTATATGGGTAGGGAAAAGGTAGGGTCGGTGCGGGTACAAGAAAATCAGGATAAAAGGGACAGGGTGTTGATAACTACAGTAAATACGTAATTCAGCGAACAAGCTGTCGTCCGGGTCTTCATATTAAGTATTATTGTTTATATAATACTAGACATTTCTAAGAATAAATTGATGTAGTTACAACTGACATTTGGTAAAAGACTAATATTTTAATATCAGCTCTTTGTAAAATCCCATTATTTTTATGTCTTTTTCATATCTTCTTTGAATTTGCAAATAGGACCACCATGTTAAGTCAATACCTTGTTGTTGAAGGGCTTGCCTGTCTTTGAGTTTTCTGTCCTTGTCCAAAATATCTTTATAACTAACAAGTTTATCATAATTAATCAAATTTGGGTAAGCAAATGCTTCTATTGTTGAAAGCCACTCAGAAATTTTCATATACATTTTGTGTCTAACTTTCTCCCATTCAGAAAGTAAAACATTTCTTATAGCATGGTTTTGAAAGTACTTATGTATTTTAGCTTTCTCGTACCATAAAAAGGCATGCCAGCCTAGCTGAAGGTCATATCCCTCTAAATAGAGAATTTGCTTATTTCTCAGAGTAATCCATTCTTTAAACCAAAGCAAAATAGCTGCTTGATAATAAAGTCTCCAATCCAGAAGTCCAAAACCCCCTCTATCTTTCGAGTCTTGTAGAAGTTTACATTTAATTCATTCTTTCTTTCTTTCTTTCTTTCTTTCTTTCTTTCTTTCTTTCTTTCTTTCTTTCTTTCTTTCTTTCTTTCTTTCTTTCCATATAAATCTTAATATCATTGCATTTAAATTGTCAAAAAATTTCTTACCCAGCTTTACAGGAACTGTTTGAAATAAAAAAATTAGCTTTGGTAAAATGTGCATTTTAACAGTTGCTATTCTTCCTAGCAATGATAGTTGGAGATTTTCCCATTTTTCCAAGTCAATTTTTATTTGTTTTATTAGTCTCTCATAATTATCTTCTTTTAGTAATATATATTTCGCCATAAGATAGATACCTAAATATTTAATTTTTTTAACTATTTGAAGATTTGTCTTTTTGGCAAGTTGAGTTTTCTTTTTATCAGTTAATTTTTTTGTTAACACTTTAGTTTTTTCCTTATTTATTTTCAGTCCAGCCACTTCTCCAAATTTCTCAATTTTCTGCAAAAGTTTAGGGGCTGTTTCCAAAGGCTCCTCTAAGATAAAGACCAGATCATCCGCAAAAGCCTGTAATTTATATTTCTGGTCTTTAATCTCAAGACCTTTAATTTCTATGTCTTGCCTGATGTTTCTAGTCAATACCTCCAGAGTAAAAATAAATAGCAGGGGGGAGAGTGGACATCCCTGTCTCGTGCCTTTTTTAATATCAAAGCTCTCTGTATAATCTCCATCTATAAGTATCCTTGCTGATTATTTCTTGTAGATCGCTTGGATTGCTTTAATAAAGTTTTCACCGAAGTCCATTTCCTGTAGTTGTTGAAACATAAATTGCCAATTTAAATTATCAAATGCTTTTTGTGCATCAAGAAATATAAGTGCCATCTGGTTCCCTCGATGATTTTCATAATACTCCAAAATATTTAAAATAATCCTTAAATTGTTCTTTATCTGTCTTTTAGGAAGAAAGCCATCTATTAAAAAACTTTTCATTCTTTCTGCCAAAATTGCAGCAAAGATTTTATAATCCACATTTAGTAACGATATTGGCCTATAGTTTTTAATTTGTGTAGGATCTGTATCTTCTTTAGGTATCAAGGTAATATTAGCTTCAGTCCATGAGTTCAGAACTTTTGTCTGTATAGATGTTTCATTATACAAGTCCTTCAGAAAAGGAGTCACAGTATCTTGTAAAGCTACATAAAATTCTGCAGGTAGTCCATCCGGCCCCGGTGTCTTATCTTTCTTTTGTCTTCTAATTGCCTCTATGATCACCATCATTGATATCTTCTCATTTAACCTTTGTCGCATATTTTCTGATATTTTTGGAAGATTTGCTTTTTTAAAATAGTCCTTCAGAAATCGTCTCAGCCTTATAAAGTAGCTCATAAAAGGCTTTAGCGATTTTTTTAATATCACCATTATGACAGTGTATTTCACCCTTTTCATCCAGTAATTTACTTATTGATCTTTTTTCCTCTTTCTTTTTTCAATCTATATGCAAGCCATCTACCCGGTTTATTAGCATTTTCAAAAAAGTTCTGTTTGGCTCATTTAATCTGTTGTGCCATAGTATCAGTCTCGAGTAGATTTAATTTTATGTTTTATTAAGTCCATTTGTATCTTCAAATTTTTCTTTTGTGGATCAGTTTGTAACTCCAGCTCCAATATACCAGTTTGGACTGAGACACAGTCAGTTTTAATCATATAGAAATACAGTCTCAAAAAACATAGTGTAATGTGTTTCCAGTGTTATATTTCTAGAAATTTTAATCAATCATCTCCTTACTATACTGAATTAAATGGCTTTACCCATATTATTCCTGGTTCCAAGTTACATTTTCTATACACCTTTTCTAGCTGGCTGACCTTTGCTGATTTGGAAAAAACTAAGCTTGAACAAATTGCTTTCCTGGGAAACAACTATGAAATCCCAGAAGTATAAATTGGAGAGGAAGTACAAAAAAAAAAAAAAAAAAAGCATAGATAGATAGATAGACAGACAGACAGACAGATAGATAAACAAATTCCTAGGAGAAAAAAAAAACATAGCAAACCATTAGATGTTTCCATACAATGGTTAGGAGGTGAGCATGACTCAAAAAAGATCTTATCTTTAAACACAAAAAATGAGTCCAATTGGTATCAAAAGCTCTGTTTCTCATCAATAGCACATGTGCTTTCTTTTATTTGATTTGCTATAAAGGCAATATATAAAATGTATCAACAATCAACAATCATAATTTCTACAGGTAGTCCTTGACCTACAGACATTTGTTTAATGGTGGCCTTGGAAAGGGTGCTTTATAAAACACTTTTGACCATTGCAAAATATCACACATCCCACACGGTCATGATCTGAGTGCATGGCAACATGATCATAGTTACAACCGGTTTACAAGCACCTCATAATCCCGTGATTGCCATTTGCAATACTCTCTGCCAACAAAATACATGGTATCTTATCTCTCTCCCTCGGTTGAGAGAGGCTGTTCAATTTTAACACAGATGGCCTTTTTGACTCCTCTTTCACACCAGTGATCCTCTCTATCCAGAATGTTCACATTCTGATTTGAACCTGTCCCCTGTCTACAACACAGTCCATTCAGCAGTCCCAAGAAAGTTTCATGCCTATTTGAACTCTGATTCACGTGACCTTGATAGTACAGAAAAAAATTCAAAGTGCTTCAATGACTCTCAGAGAGCTAATAACCAACCTTCAGAATGCTAATGACCAGAGGACTGCAAAGAATATAAATCCTTCCATTCCCACCATTCAGTCAGAACTGAAGAAGCTTCTTGGATGAGAAGTGAAGCATTTTCAAAGAAAAAAGTAAGAAAGTCAAGTGGCCTTTGGGACTGGACTTTTAGTATTAGAGCAGAGAGGTAGTGTGGTAAGGTAAAGGGTATAGGATGCCTTGATGGGATGGAACTGGCTCTGGGAGGCCTAGTGCAGGACATGCACCAGTCCCTCTCCTCTTAAAGGCTGAAAATCTTGCTTGGATTTCACCAGGTAGTATTTTCAGCTCCTGAAGGGAGAAACACTCATATATGACCTGCACTGGGCTTCCCAGAATCTCCCCTCCAACCCCCCATGCTCCTTAGTTGGAACTCTGCTTTACAACCCATGAGGTTGCTTAACACTCATAACCAAGGGTGTTGGTAATCACAGTCCTTGAGCAAAGAACTCATTTGGTGTCTCACTCAATGATGACTTTGTTCAATGATTTAGTGTTAGGTACCAATTGTAGTAGAAAGCTGAGGACTACCTATATATCTAAAGTTCCAAACTTTTCAAAGAGTCACTTTTGGGGTTAATATCCTTATTAGAGGATATAATCATATGCTTATTTACCCTGAATTTTTACTACTATGAACAAAGGTTTCTAGTATATGTTTTAATACAATATACAATTTAGGAATTCTCATTTATACTAAATTATTTTGAATGGTTAAAGTTCCAAAACTCCATAACATAAATAAACAAAAGATATAATGTATATACTAAAATGATAAAGAATGTTTGCTGATGTGTGTTATTGTTTTCCTTCAGAATGGACCTGTAGATCTTTTTCTAAACCAACTTACGTTTATACACTCTCTCATAATAGTAATCTCATGACTGATAACCAGTAGTGGGATTCAGATAATTTAACATCCAGTTCTTTCTGAAATCACAGAACCCTGTGTAGGGGGTGGAGCTACCCCATGTGCCCCGCTCCTACTTACTTTAGGGCCCCTGCACCCAGGCCACTTCCCACTCAGTGACCTCCCTCTGCCAGTTCAATGACCCAGCTGCCCACCTGCCTCTTTCCTTTCACTCCCCTCCCGAGCTGGACTGCCATGCTATGGAGAATGGATCTTACTCAGTCCCCCTCTGCCTTTTCAGAGCCAGGGGGGGGGAGTGATAGTGAAAGGCTCTGTTGCCACTGCGCAACAGCCATGTCTACTGCTAGAGGGGCTTTTGTCAGTCTCCACCATCCCTGCTTCCCCGCTTTGCCCTGTGATCACCTGCCCAGTAGCAGCTACCACCTCCTTTTCCTCCGCCAACTCTCCCATGACCTCCCATGCTGCCTCCCTCTGCCAGCAATGGTATCTCTCCAGCAGCCGTCCATCGCCGCCATGGCGCACCTGCTTGCACAAAGCAGCAGCCTATGTGGGCTGCCTTCTTCCCAGCCAAGAAAGAGAGAAAGGGAGAAAGGCAGCTTACAAAACTTCCTTTGCCTCCCTGGGTGTTCTTAAGTCTTTCTTCCTTCTTCTGGTCAGCACTTTCTTGCTGCCCTGCATCTCTCTTCTCCGTTCTACAAATGGCAGCCCCATTTTCTGCCACTTTCCTCCGCTTCTTCACCTGCTTCGCGCTGCAAACAGAAGAGCTTTGCTCTTTTTCTCCAGGGCCTTTGAAATTGCCCCCCCCCTCGCTTTTCTGCCTTAAAATCCAGAGCAGACTCTCAGCTGCTCATCAAATCATACCGGTAGCTACTTTGTCCTCAGCTGATCAGGAGGAAAATGTGTCTACTCTGATTTTAAGACAGAAAAGTGAAGGGGGGCAATTTCAAAAGACCTCCTGGAAAAAAAGAGCAAAACTATTCTGTTTGCCATCCGAAGTGTGTATCAAGGCCAACCCTGCGGGAAGCGGATCCACTTCCTAAGGGCTTTGCAGAACCATTGGAGAAGGGGAGCTTGGTCTTCCTCATCCAGCTCCAGCTGGAGTAGTTTTTCCAGAGCTTAGCATCCTTCCATACAAAGCATCTTTCCTTTCCTCTCTTCTGCCAGGAGGAAAGCAGCAGAAAACAGGGCTGCCATTTCCAGAACGGAGAAGGGAGATGCTAGCTGATGCTGGGTGAGCAAGAAAGTGCACGTCAGAAAGTGCCGTGGAAGCGACAGAGGGCTGGTGGAGGGACACCAGGGCTGGTGGAGGGAGGTGGCAGGGGAGATTTGCGCAGATTTATCATAAGAGGTTCACCAAACTCAACAAAAAATTATGTATCAGTGCAAACCAGCTGAATCCCACCACTGCTGTTAATTCCAACTAATTAAAAAGCATTCATCATGACTTGCAACAGTTTTTCTTTTCAACACCGCTGAAGCATTAATTGCAAAAGGTAATTAAGAACACCTGGTTTTCTCCTAGATAATCTAGATTTGAATGTAAGAGACCACCTCTTACTTTGAATTTGAATTATAGTAAAGAAGATAAGTACTGAGATCCATTTTGTATCTGTTGCCTAAAAATCCATTTTTTTCCCGTTCCCCAAGGATTGGTGTATATCTTAGCTATATTTTAGAGCAGGCATGTCAAACTCATGACATGTGATGTCGTGTGACGTATCGGGACTTTTTGCCCATTGCCGGCAATGGGGTGGGCGCAGTTTCGGCATGACGCATCTAGCCTGTGGGACAGCAGTTTGACATGCCTGTTTTGGAGGATTGCTTATTTTAGCAGGGGGAATTCCAACCCTCTTGAGTTCCTACCCACTTTACTGTTTTCAGGATATGGGTAATGGGAGATCAGCTGAGTTGCCTAGTAATTTCCTAATTTGAAAAGGATGTGGCTTATTAACTTCTTGCTGAGGAAAATAAGGAGCTAGGTTTCAGGGACTGAGTTTACTGAATAAGTGAATAGGAAGAACTAAGATGAATCTTCCAAAAGAGTGAAACAACAACCACAAGTGGCCATGTGTTCTGAGAGACTGCTTGCTCAACTATGAGGACTAGAAAGTCTATCTCCTGTATAGTTCATCATTGCAGCAGGTATAGCATATCTTGAAAGCTGCTGATTGCCCAAAGTACTATATGTGGGGCAGCCGACTGATTGCTGTGTCTCAAGTAAGTGTAAACTTTGAAAGGAATATAAAGAAGACACATTTGAGGAACTGAGCAAATGTATATGGAGAATGAAAGCAGTTTTCTAGGGGATACTTTTCCTCTCTTAGTCAAGAGTTGGAAAACAGAAGAAGAGAAAAAAAAATAAAAGCCTTTCTACTGATGTGTTCTAAAAGAGAAGAGGAAAAAATAGGAGTCTGAGACGGGCAATGCTTATGGAATGTCTGTCTTTCTGCCTGAAAAGAAGTTGCATACTTTATACAGCCCTGAAAAAAAGCTAGAGAATGAGCCTACACTCAATGGCCACACTTCAACTGGTAAGAAAGAAGGATTTATCAGTTCAAAGAAAGGAAGCATTACAACAGAACCTGACAGTAACAAAAACTCTCCATAAGGAATACTGTCAAATGGAGGAGTAAGCCCAATGGATGAGAGTAAAGATCAGAAGTAAGCGACACAAATCAGGTTCTGTCTCACTGGAACTCAGAAGTAGTTTTCAGGTCCTTTGAAAGAAAACAGGCTCTGAGTGTTCAAAATAGGAAATAGAAGCACTGTAAGAGAGTAGATTCCTTGCGGCATACATAATGCAACTGTTACTCTACAAGAAGACAAAGAGAAAAGCCAATGTAGCTGTTGACTCACTAGTATCAGCAACTGACACAAATACACACTGACATAAATCTATTAGTTTGTTGTCTTTCAGGGCCAAGGATCAGGACATAACAGAACACCTTCCAAGTTAGCAAGTGCCTTCCTGCTAATAGCCATGGGACATAGAATACTGCAGGGAAGTGATTCAACCATATCGCTATGGATTTTGAAAAAGACCTCAGGGGAAAAATATTAAAATTGCCGTGTCCTTAGCTAATATTCTTATTCATTTTTTCCAATCCATAGAAGAGGAAAGATGAATATAGCAGATCAATTTCTAACTTTCAAATTTTGCTGAAGAGATTTTGCTTTCTGGGACAATCATCTGAATTACCTACAAGACAGATTGACTGGCATCTCACAAGAACTTACAAAAATGTATTTGACCAAAACATGAAAAGCTTGATTAGAATAGCTTTATAAGGAATGTTTGGGGGGACGGCTTGCAGGAGCGGGTAGGGGGAGGAAGTGAAAATGAAAATCCTAAAGGAGAAACCTCAAGTAAAGATTTCTGCATAGTAAAATCTGAAAAAAAATGGTTGATATATTTCATGACCTTTATTGTGAATATAGTCATGCTCAGAGTAAAATACTCAGGGAATAAACCAGATGAGCCCCCTAAGCTATTAATTGAAAGAGCCAGATATAATTTAAAAGACATATTGGAGACCTGATGGGATGACTCTCGTGATTGATATATATATAGCAAGTGAAAAAAATGTATGGTAAAAAGGAACAGAAACAAGAGAAATCATGTTGCTCTTATATCCAAATAAATGAGTCTGGCAATGCTATAGAGACCATCAGGCTTAAAATAATCAAATAAAAGTAATGCTGTTGTAAGTGTCTATCACCCCATCTAAGCCAGAGAAGATATATGTTGTTTTCCAAAAGCAAATTGCTGTTCTTTTGAAGAGGCATAAAGTGGCAGGAATCAGAAAGTTTAATTGTTCTAATACCTGCTGGGACAAACTATTAAAAGCATAATTACCTTTCTGGTTTCTTTCTGTATGTTATATATTTCATCAGCATTAATATAGATGAACATTTTTATTTCCCCCAAAATATTTCTACAATAAAATATAAAAAAAAGAGAGAACAGGTATCCTTGTTTTGGGTTCCTATTTCTTTGAGAATATTCTTCACTTGCTTCAAAATAATCGATGAGGTTGGGGAATTGTTCATTGGTCTGGTGACGACATGTTATCTCAATATATTTATTTGTATTTTGCTAAAACTTTAGAAGATTCTGTTGGATACGGGTGACTTATAGTCCTAGCAAATCTGGCATAACATGATTAGTGCAGCCTAATACTTAGACTGTTTGGACTAAAAATAAAAAAGCCTGAATTAATTTTTGATTCAATCTTTATATCTGGTGCTGATTTTGGACCTGTTAAACTGAAGAAGCTTTCTTTGATGAGAAGTAAAACTTCTTCAAGGAAAACAAAGTCCAGTTGCCTTTTGAAAAAAAGCACCTTTGGGACAACCTTGATTTGGATGACTGAGAATCTCCATAGACAGATCTATTAATATCTTATGCTGTTGCTGTGTGAAAAAGATTGGATGACAAACTATGTATATATCACCTTAGATGTAAAGGAAATATCTGTGTACAAATAAATAAAAAATATGACACATGCGTTGTTGTTTTCTAACAGCATTGTTTACTTCACACATTCTGAATGCTGAAAGGAGAATATTGTGAAATTATCAAATGGTCAGCTGATTTCACCATACTTCTGCCACACTAGAGAAGATGGAGAGCAACCATACATTCTAAAAGTGATTGGCAAAAGCCTAATAAATCTCTTTTGTATTATTAATTGCAGATTTAATACATATAAAGGAGCACTAGAAAATCTAATTTCTAAAGTCCAATTGAAAATCCTACACTTAGAAAAAGTTTGATCACTGTAAGAATTAAGGTACCATATTTTTTATTATGCAGTAATGTTTCTCATTTTCAAATGTAATATACAGTATGAAAAAATGACTTTCAGCAGTTCTATCTTTATCACTTTTACACTATGATTAATAAGTTTGAAGAATAGTATTCCTAAAATATTGTATTCATTTATACTTACGACATTCTTCAGGTTCATCTGATCCATCTCCACAATCATCCACAGTGTCACATTTCCACCAAAATGGAATACATTTGTCTGTCCTACAGCGGAACTAAAGGAGAAAAATGTAATAGAAAAGGTTTTAAAATAGATATACAACTTATAAAGATGTATAGGTATGTGTGTGGTGTGCATGCGTGTATGTGTGTGTGTGTAGAATAAAAAGTCAGTAACTGGAATCTGATATACTGATTATTATAAACTACTTCAAAAAGTCTCATTCTTTCATGTATATAAATCTATTGTATTTGCTACAATAATATCCACACTTACAAAATAAATGCTTCTGAGAATTAAATATACAGCATACTGTTACAATTTTTATAGCAGTAGCACATATCTCAAAATATGTAAATATACTTAAAAGGAGATACTGAAAATATTTTTTAAAAAACTTCCATTCCAAACAATATACATACTTGACTGGCTGTGCAATTTGATAAGCAGGTCTTATTATCTGATGCGAGGTAAAAATTGGTAGGACAGGCACAAGTGTGAGTTTTATTTGGGGCAAGAAGGCACAGATGACTACAGCCACCATTATGTAATGTACATGTATGTTTAGCCACTAGAAATACAAACATATAACAGTTAAAACATGCCCATAAAACTGAAGTAAAACTAATTCTAAACCTGTAATATCTTCCAGTTTAAAAATACCTCTAACATGTTTGAAACATAAATTTTAGAAATATTATTTTAAAAGATAAGTTAGAATAATAAATTATGAAAATTGAATTGTTACTACTTTTCTATAAAAGATAGTTTATATGACATAAAATCATTTCATATTCTATAAAACTAATTCAAACAATTGACCAATAATAAGAGCTGTATTAGATATCTTCTCATATAAACACAAAAAAGGAGCTGTGTGCACAAACTACTTTATTCAAGTCCCAATGAAACCTCCATGGAAAGAATTTCTGCAGTGCAGACATTGTTAAGTGTAGGTTTCCACCTTACACACTATATGCAAAGTCTCCCTGCTCCAGAAAATATGTCTTTACTTTTGAAGATTGGCTTCGCAATATTATTATTGGTATAGCAGAAAGAGAAAGATAACACTCACTATTCGTCATGTTGAATTCTGCACAGAATATATCGTATGAACTGAGCTAAAGAAAGTTCTAAATTTGAGTTAAGGCGAATGCTACACTATGGCTGTGGTGGCACAATGGTTAGAATGCAGTATTGGAGGCTAATTCTGCCGACAGCCAGGGGGTTGATCCTCACCAGCTCAAGGTTAACTCAGCCTTCCATGCTTCCAAGATCGATAAAATGAGGACCGAGATTGATGGGGGCAATATACTGACTTGGTAACCAGTTAGAGAGGGCTATAAAGCACTGCTAAGTACTATTGCTATCAGTGCATTTCTAGTTGTCCAGTGAAACTAATTTGGAGGATATTTTTGACCCAGGAGGAATCTGATCATTATACCAATATTAGAAATGCTGTTTTCATTTCTATCCACATCCGTTACAAGAACTAGGAAAAATGGAGGAAGCTCAGTAAGTTATTAAAGGCTGTATCTGTGATTTACCGTATTCAGTTGTAACAGGTATTTTGAAGAATAGCCAGTTCTCTTATGTCTATTTTACTTTTCTAATAATCTTAAACACTCTAAATAGTTCATGGTTATTGCTAAGCAAAATTCAGTAAAAAGTCTGGTAACAGAGAAAGAGGCATTTGCTTGAATGAATATGTAATTTTAAAAGATCAGTTCTTACCATTAGGTTGCCTAAATGAATGATAAACTTGAATATCAGTTATGGTATGCCATGAGTTAATCAGTGTTACTTTATCTGCTCCAGAGATTTTGTGGGCACGATTGACAGTCTTGGTTTTTCCATCTGTCCAGTATATATAGTCTTCAAATAATGTTAGAGCAATCACGCCTAGAACATGTTGATTAGGAACTGCAATAGAATATAATAACATTAGTGCTGAGTTTTGAGAAAGACTGATAGTTAAAATGTTTTTATTGCAAAAACTACCCTTATTTGGAGGCCTTGCCATTATTTCTGAAGTTGCTTCACAATCACTGTAACTATGTATTTATCTTGGTTAGCAGATTATATGTCTTTTAGTCTCTGTCTTATATAGAAAGCCTTTTGTTGTTATTCTTTCAGTTTTCTCTTCACTGAATACTTTGCGACACTTTCTCCATTTGCTGAATTACCATTCTCACCTTCCTGCATTTCCTCTCTAGATATCTTCAACCCATATTTCCTTCTGAAGTTCCTAACTTTCCTCTAAGTAACTTCTGAGAATAAAGAATTATCCAAAATCTGACAATACTTTAAAACAGACGTTCAAGTGATGTAAACTAAGAAGATTCCTCAGTAAACTTACTACAAAGCCATAGGGAAAATATTGAAAAGAATTGGTAGAAAGTCAAATTCAACAAAATATGTGGAGGATATATTTTAAAACATCGTCTCACAAGAGATAGAGAAAAAATTTGGCAGAAATCAAAGCAAACAATCCTGGGCAGCAAGGTGATAACAGGATGAAGGACTACTCTATTGTGTTATTGTATAATAATTATCCTCATAGCAGTATGAAAGTAATAATCCCTCCAGTTTCCTGGATCAAGCAATTTAGAATTTTAAAAATCATTATCAAATTCAAACTCTGTCTACAATTAAAGGCATTTTTGTCATAAGGAATTATGTAATGAATATGAATATACAAATGTTATTGAACAGAAGAGAAAGAGAGAGGTCTTTTTTTCAATAAAACGAAATCAGTTGATAAGAGATTTGAAAACACAGAGGTGGAATTAATGTTAAAACTAAAGATTTATCTCATAAAATCATATCATGTGATTGGGACAATTGATGGTAATGTGATTTGTACAGTGCTTTTTTTGTACACACACAAAAAAAGGGCTGGAACTCACACATGTCGTACAACCCGCCTTGCCTACCCTACAAGGTTCCATCCAAAAAAAGTGCCAGAACTCCATTCTGGGCCTTCTATTACAAAAAAAGCCCTGGATTTGTAGGATAATCATTGAATCCAATATTCCCCTTTGTGTCATCCCACAGATCTGCATTACATAAACAATGAAAGCTTCTCTCTCTCTCCCTTGTCCTTATTTTGATATAATTGCCATAGTGCAGGGGTGTCAAACTGCCAGCCCATGGGCCGGATGCATCATAGCGAAACCATGCCCACCCTATTGCCGGCAATGGCAAAAAAGTTGTGATACGTCGCGACACATCATGTGATGGTGCAAGTTTGACACCCCTGCCATAGTGTGACAATTTAGTGCCAAAGGAATGAACTGGTATTGTTTAAATGTAGAATTTTGACATATGACATGAATAGCATAAGTTGAAATGAAGTTTTATTGATTAACTATTTCCATGTAAATGTATCACTTTTAAATAACACCATGTTGAAAATGAAAGCATCAATTTATTAAACAGCAAAAACTTAGGACAATGAATTCAAGCATGACTTGTTTTAAAAAGTTACAAAGGGAAGTGCTTTTCATACTATGCATATATATTGTCCTTAGCTTCTTCATATACAATGTGTATCCAAAGTCAAACAGCATAGGCCAAACACAGTATGTTTTATTATTTATTTTTTCCACATAAAATATTCATGTACAGGAATGTCCAAAGATCATGCAACAAACAAGTAAGGAAGTGTTTAGCAGAAAATGACAAGCAATTTGATCTTTTAATATAATTTATGGAATAAATTGTCTATGGGACCTGACTTTAGGTATTTGTATTGTTTTAGAAAATGTAGATTATAAAATAATAGTTTTTGAATACAACAAATTTGGCAAAAGAACAGGCTGTAACAGTTTCTTGGAGTGTAACTAACCTTTATTTCTGCGGGTGCCATCCATATTAGCAAATTCAATATGATTTTCATCAGCCCAGTAAAATCTTCTGTTGACATAGTCTATTGTAAGAGCCATGGGTCTAGATATCTGTGTTTCTATCACAACTGTCTGATTAGAGCCATCCATGCCAACTCGACCAATATGAGGATATTCACAGCAATCAATCCAGTACAAATACCTAGGAAATAAAATTCATAAATATGGTGTTACAATGTAACATAATCATAGTAATAGTATAATTGGAAATGTTACAATTTACAAAGTTGTATATAGCATTTATTTTTAAGTATCATATTGTTCACTATCAAGGAGCTACGTTGATAGCTGCTAATTCACAATTCAAAGACTATTCTCTCTCAAAAGAATTGATAATGGGCTTAAGGTTGGTCAAAACCTTAAGGTCAGAATTATGACCTTATTCATCTTCCAATATATATATATATGTTTTCTGAGGTTTTCGCGGGTGTTTGTATGTAGGTCTTTGGTTGTTCGGGTTTTCTCCTGCGTAAAATTGGAAGTGTCTTGGCGACGTTTCGACGAAGTCCCATTCGTCATCTTCAGGCTGGTGTTTTCAGCTTCGTGCTCGAAGCACGAAGCTGAAAACACCAGCCTGAAGATGATGAATGGGACTTCGTTGAAACGTCGCCAAGACACTTCCAATTTTACGCGGGAGAAAACCCGAACAACCAAAGACCTACATATATATATATATGTGTGTGTGTGTGTAGGTCTTTGGTTATTTGGGTTTTCTCCCACGTCAAATTGGAAGTGTCTTGGTGACGTTTCGACGAAGTCTCATTCGTCATCTTCAGGCTGGTGTTTTCGGCTTTGTACTAGAAGCGTCCTAGAAGCACGAAGCCGAAAACACCAGCCTGAAGTTGACAAATGAGACTTCATCGAAACGTCACCAAGACACTTTCAATTTGACGCGGGAGAAAACCCGAATAAACAAAGACCTACATACAAACACCCGCAAAAACCTCAGAAAACATGTATGTATGTATGTATGCATATATATATATATATATATATATATATATATATATATATATATATATATATATAACATATAGAATGAATAAATAAGGGGAGAAGATGCAACCTCGTCTAACACTTTTGCCAACCTTTCACCATGTTCTGTCCATACTTCCTGACCTGTATGTAAGTTTCTCATGAGTACTATTAGATGTTCCTGGGTTCCCAATTTTCTATGCACTTTCTGTAATAGAAGTTATGTATGGTTTCCGATTGCTAAATTTTAAGATATTAATAAAGTAAATATTTGTCAGAAAAAAGACAATCAACATGGTTAAGAGATCACATGAAGAAAATTGTATTGGTCACAGGGCTTCAGTATACAACTGAGGGTCTAAAACAAAAGGGTGTTCATTAAGGTTTTGTTGGTTCTTCCTCGTGAAACATCTGGGGATGGACCAAGAAGGTGTCTTGAGTTTAGATTTCAATCTAATGAAAGATGAATTCAACAAATGCTTATAAGCACCAATTCTTTGGGCTGACCATTCTTGCATTGTCAGATTTCCAGGCTTTAGCCTGGCATACTTCTATGGAACAGCTAATAAAATAATGGGTAACTGAAAGGGACAAGGGATATCACATGCATCTTGACACTATCAGCATGAATTATATATATATATATATATATATATATATATATATATATATATATATATATTGTATTACAATAATATTGTATATAATTCATTCCTTTTGTATGACATCATGTACACAGCATTATTTGACATTATTGTGATTTCCATTGGATACCTGTACATAATCCACTGTCAGAATTTTAATTGTGGAATTTTAATTGCGATGTATAGTGATTAATGGCTTTTAAATAATATAAAAAAATTCATTCAGCTGAATTAATTCACCTATTATTAGCTGTCAAAATTATTGCTCAAATTTATGCTAGACAAATTTGTGATTATTGTTTGGAAACAACCTGAAATTTTCAAATATTAGATATAACAATTATTTCCATTATCTTTCATTAAGTCCAGTTACATTAACTCCAAAAATGTTTCCCGTTAAACATTACTTTTGTTGAGAAGGATATACTCAACAATCAATTGTGCTATTAATTTGTATGATAACTCCATACCCAATTTGAGGATCTAAAGAGAGATCTCTAGGAAACTTCACCCTTTTGCTCACAAGAACAGTGGGATATAAGCCATTGATTTTGGATACTTCAATCATCCTTTTTTCTGTGTCAGACCAATAGAGATTCTTTCCAACCCAGTCAACTGCTAATGCATTAGGAACAGCTGTGTTATGAACTACCTAGAGAAATGAAAACTGTATAAGTAGCAGAACATACAGAAAAAAATGGTGGAAAGTCCATTTTCATTTTCCTGAGATAAAAGTAAATAATTATACTACACTGGCAAATACAATTAATATAATTGGAAGGTTCTTAATTCTGAAAAATATTTGAAAGAAAATATATTAATTCTTATAACATACTACAATTAACCAACAACAAGAGACAGCATTATATAGTAATTTTATTCCTGTTTTACTATTTTTTTTCTTTCATTAAAAGTTCCTGCAAGTTTTCTTGGCAAGCTTTTTCATTACCTCCTTCTCAGGGCTGAGTGAAAATGACTGACTCAATGTTATCCAGCTGGCTTTGTGGCTAAGACAGGATAAAATCTCAGAGTCTCTTGGTTTCAGAATTTATGCCTTAACCACTACACCAAATTGGCTCATAATTACTGCACTCTAAAGATTCACTTTAGACATATCCCAATGAATTCTTTCTCTGATGTGCAGAATCCCATCCCATCTCATATTCTTAGAGGTTTCTTCACATCCAAATACACAACATAGTTACCTGCTTTTCTTCAACACACAACAGCAGTCAGCAATGATTTATGAAGTGAAAATATCAGAGATAACTATCAGAAACTTCCAAGATTTACTCTTCTAAACAAGAGCAAAATGGGCTGATGCAGTGGTAACAAAAAGCCATCACCCAAAGCAATCCAAGTGACAACTGCACCTAGATGGCACTGGTTGCACTGTTTCTTCCATCTTCACCAATTCCAGCTTCTAAAGGTTAAGGTAGGCAGCCCCATTTTAGTTATGAAGCTACTATGGACAGTTTTGTCAAGCCACCTCATTGGCTGCTGCTATAACTACATATTCAGCATTTTCTTTGTGCATGGAAAAATAGTAGTATAATCTTTCAGATTATAGGAAATGTAAGATAAAAATGAATCTGGATGAAATATTTATCTGTCCATTCATCTAATTTATATGGTCACGTATCTACTCTGAGATATTAAAAGTTTGCTTTTTTTCTTATACAGCAACAAAACTTCCTAGGCAAAATTCACTAATAGTTTAGTGAATAAAACTAAAACTATTGTGCAAAAATAAGAAAATGGATTTGTGACAGCTCCAAAACTAGAAAAGTGTAGTTATGGATTGACATAATGGTGATCTCAATTCTGGTATCCATTGAAAAACCTTGGCATGAATTAGGTTTCTTGAGAACTCTGATTAACAAGTCTAACTTTGAGTAGGATGGGAAATCTATAAAAATAACACAAATGGTTTTGAATGAAAAGTTGCATAAATATGAAGTACAAAAAAAATCCTGTATAAACAAATGGAAGGTATATTCTTTCTTTAATAGATATGAGAGTATTCCCCATTTATTTTTTATTTTTGTTCATTGTAATCAATATATTCTTCATTTAACTCAATCTATCTGATAGTTTAAATCAGACAACAGATAGATTTTGTATTTCATTTCACTTTCCATAATATGCTATTATTTTTTATCTCATCATTGTGCATACAGGCATTAATTAAATCATAGTTCAAAATGAATTTTGATTTGAAATATGAATACACCTGGATACCAGTTTCTACTGTGATTAAAAAAAACAAACTTCATCTGGCAAACAATCTAAATTAAGTCTAGAAATAAAAAAGCAAAAGAACAGGGAATCATTACCAAGAATTCTTAAATAAGTTAGAAGTTCAAATGTCACAGATATTATGAAATATGCCATATTCTGAATAAGCTACATGTTTTATAATGTTATGTATCAATTGTTTAATATTTTGATTAATTAAAGAAAATACATATTGACTAAGCCAATCACACATGTATATAATCTGCTCAGAGTTGCCTCAAACTATGAGATGGTTGACATGTAAATTTAATAAATGAATAGTGTGAGCAGCTGCAAATTCTTAAAGATTTCACTAGCACAAATATGACTAAAATATATGCTTTTTAAGTGGTATTTGAATCTTAAGTATTTATCATCCAGGAAAACAATTGCAGTTGTGCAATTTAATATCACTTGATCTGTAGAGTGGGAAAAAATGTTTAATCCAGACTTAGTTACACTCTATATCAATTGATTTAATTTAATCATGGTTAATCTATTCCATAGTTTCAATGTATGTATTCTCAATAAAACTAATAGATCAAAATCTGTTTTTATGGGTAACAATTTTACTGGCTTAAGCTGTGCCAGTATCCAAATGACTTTCTACATAATGACATTAGCTACTGACCCACATAATATTTATAAATCCATGATTACTTCCAAATCACCTTGACATCATTCCCATTCAGATTCATTCTGTTAATCCTACTTCCATTTGGTCTGCTGGAATCAATCCAATAGATGAACTCTTCTTTGTAATCGAAGTCTATTGAAATCACATTATTCAGGCCCTAAAAGAGAAAAAAATAACCTCAGCAATTGCTGTAAACAAATTAATAAAGTTAAGATAACTATTCCTACAATGAAGGGAGATACTTAAAAGGGGGAATATATCTATTTTTCCCAAATGTTCACAATCAACTTGGGGTTTACCAACAAAAAATGTTGTCCTCTTCAAATATACTGCCAAGTTTCCAATACCAGTCAATGGGAGAAGATATAAGCAAATATAACTACCAGTATCTATTCTCCAACCATCTCAATTTTTGATAGGTGTGAGACAGAATATCTGTAGGAGAATAACAATTAATGAGGTGTTAAAAATGGAAGCTCTCTGACCTCCATGATGATGAGCTTCCCATGTACATTCGCAGGTACATTGACCTTGTTTTCTTATATATGAGCCCTGGTGGCTCAATAATTAGAATGCAGTATTACAGGTAACTCTGCCCACAGTCTGGAGTTTGATCTTCATGAGCTTGAGGTTGACTCAGCCTTTCATCCTTCTGAGGTCGGAAGTCAAGAGTGTTTCTCCTCTATATATCTTTGATTAAAGGTTAACTTCTATTGTCAAGGTCTAGCTTTCAGGACTACCAATCCACATGGATTAAGGCTATCAAATCTAACCTTTTAAATCTAGACTACTCTCTCCCTTCGGTTCTCAAGATGAAATATGATTAGGTGAAACAAACCCTGAAGCAAAGGATAAAGGATACAGAGCAGCAAACAGATCTAGGGAAGGCCCCAGCATTCTTATCACCAGTACACAATAGATATATTGTCACTGCAGCCTGCCTTATACAGCTAAAAATACCCACTCATCTGAAAGCTTTCTCTCTTGCCTGATGTCCCCTCTGCAGATGGAAAATTATATAAAAGCTGAAAGGCTTTGCCCCTGTGATTCTGGAGAGGTGGAAATTACAGAGCAAGTTCTTTGTTGCTCCTTTTATAGAGACATCCAAACCAAAATCATCTTATCTCTGATGATATCCTAGTTACTCAGATTAAGCCTATGCCCAAATGATGCTCATAGATGACATATCTTTTTTTTACAATGCAAATAGCTAGGTTTTGTGCATTAGCATGGAAGATCTGTTGGACATGATGGGACAATTTTCCATTAATCAAATTCTACTAATTGTAATACATTTAAATGCTAGATATTATCATTTTTTTGTAATTTTGGATGTTAGTATACTTAATGTATTTTTACTGTCTACATTATAATTTAATATAGGTTGCATCCTGAACCTCATTTATAAATATAATCTTGTTTTAAAAATGTATTTTAACATTCTCTTAAACTTTATTCTATTTATTATTTATTTAGATTCACAGAGTACTCTGCTTGTACTGGTTTATGTCTTGGTCTAAACTGGTCTATGATGAATTGAATACTCCTGGGTGAAGGATCTTCTTCTGAAAAGCAGTATTTATTATCTTTAATTTATCCCTTTAATTACTACATATGGCAGCCTAAATATGGCTGACTTCTGAAAACATAAAACAGATCAATTCTCAAGAGATAAAACCTTAGAAAAATGAATAAGAAGAGAGTAAGCGGCTATGAAAGCTAAACAGGGTTAAAAGAAAAATAAATCTAAAAATTCAGTAGGGTAAAACTAAAATTAATAGATACTTTAAAATAGATACCAAGCTTGTTTTAGCTGTGACCTCATGAGCTCTGCTTAATATTAAGAGGCTTCTGAAAATGATAAATTCCTATTGTTTGGCTAAAAGTGCTGCAGAGAAGTTTATAGGACAATACAAGTCCCCAGGTTTAATATGAGATTACAGTGCCTTCTTGTTCCACAATCTTCCTGGGTCATTCATGGAGTATCAAAATTTGAGGCCTTCTGACATAGTCATCTTCCATCTTCTACTGTTTTTCTCCTTCCCCAAAAATAATTTAGAATAGTATTCCTTGGTTAATTGGTAGCACTAGGAAACATCGTAAAATTTTAGGAAGGGAATAATGCTCAGTTATTACTTTAATAATTGTTTTTAAGGGTAAGTTAAAAGTTACATTATGACCTAAAATGATGTGATTTTAGATCACAAATATTTTTGTCAGTGCAAATCTATATTTCCTTGCTATAGGAGACTGTCCAGCCTTAAATACAAAACATGCTGTTGCTAAAATGACAGATTGCAGTAATTTGCTTATTACATCTTTCCTGCCAAATTACTATATTATTCATTTTCAGGGGTGGTGAGATTTTGTAGATATCATTACAAACTGCCTACTTTAAAAAAAAGACTTCTTGAATATTTAAACTAAACAGCAGGGACAGTGACCTAACTGATACAGAACATCCCTGTCCCCGGCAATCTGAAAATTATAGGGCTATCAGTGCATGTAACATAGATGTGTGTGTGGACAAGAACATCAACCTTGCTGTCAAGCAAAATCAAGCTCTTAATAGCGAGTGACACACAAAGTGCACTAACCAAATAAGTGGTAAGACATTAGGGGAACTCAGGCACCACACAGGTTATGTAGGAAATAAACACAGGGTCAGTCATAAAGTACTCAAATATCTATACACAAATACACAGAGTATGAATAGCAAACAGGGTGAACTAGAAATTCAGGTTAATGAGGGCAGATATATTGTTGCCATAACGGAAAAATGGTGGGACGAAACCCACAAATGGAACACATAGCTAGAGGGATTTAAATTATTTAAAAGAAACAGACCAAATAAAAAAGGAGGTGGAGTTGCTCTCTATATAAGAAATAACTACATCTCTACAGAAATAGAGCACAACAATGATGAAAACTGTCCTGAATGCATATGAATCAATATAAAAAGGGGGGGGAACGACATTGCCATAGGTGTATACTATAGGCCACCCAACCAAACACAGGAAATAGATGAATTTTTTGCTAGTCAGCTAAATAAGGTATGTAGGAAGCACATCACAATAGTAATGGGGGAGTTTAACTACCCTGACATCAACTGGGAGACAAACTCTGCACCAAGTGGAAGATCAAACAGATTCCTGACAAACCTAGCAGACATCTTTGTCTCCCAAAAAGTTGAGAAGGGAACTAGGGGAGTAGCCATTTTGGACCTAATTCTCACTAACAGAGATGAAATGATAGAAGGTGTTGAAGCCATAGGAACCTTGGGAGGAAGTGATCATGCAATATTGGAATTCAACATTATGGAAGCACAAGCAATAGAACATAGTCAGACTAGAGACTTGGACCAAGAGAGCTAATTTCAATAAACTTAGAGAGGGTTTGGGAAGGATTCCATGGATAAGAATCTTCCAGGGGAAAACAACTCAAGAGGCTTGGGAAATTTTGAAAAGTGAGATAATAAAGGCCCAGTCTAGCACAATACCAACAAAGAGGAAAAATAACAGCTCTCAAAAGAAACCAGCATGGCTGCATAAAGAACTTTCTGATCAATTGAAAGATAAAAAGGACAAGTATAGAAAGTGGAAAGAGGGACACATAACTAAGTCAGAATATCAGCAAATAGCCCAAGCCGAAGTGAGGAAAGCTAAGACTCAAAATGAACTAAGGCTTGCAACCAAAGTCAGAAGTAACAAAAAAAGTTTTTCAACATGTAAAAAACAAGAAAAAAGTGAAGGAAACGATTGGTCCATTAGTGGGTGAAAGTGGCAAGAAGGTGACAAGCAACAGGGAGAAAGCAGAACTATTTAACTCCTTTTTTGCACTTATCTTTACACAAAGGGAAAAAACAGACCAACTATCAAAAATAGTGCCATAAAAAACAGAATAGAAATACAAGTTAAGATAGGCAAGAAAATGGTAAGTGAACACCTGTCCAGCCTAGACGAGTTCAAATCGCCAGGACCAGATGGATTACACCCCAAGGTTCTTAAGGAACTGGCAGATATGATCTCAGAACCACTGAACTATATTTTTCAAAGATCCTGGAGCACTGGAGAACTACCAGAGGACTGGAAAAGAGCTGATGTAGTTCCCATCTTCAAAAAAGGAAAAAAAAAGGACCCAGGAAATTACAGACCTATCAGCCTGACCTCAATATCTGGGAAGATTCTGGAAAAGATAATCAAACAACGAATCAGCGAACACCTACAGGCAAACAAAGTCATTACTAAAAGCCAACATGGGTTTGTCAAAAACAGATCATGCCAGACAAATCTTATTGCATTCTTTGACCAAGTGACAAAATTAGTGGACCAGAGGAATGCTGTGGATATAATTTACTTGGACTTCAGTAAGGCATTTGACAAAGTAGACCACAACCTACTACTTGAGAAGATAGAAAAATGTGGGTTAGACAGCATCACCACCAGATGGATCTGTAGCTGGCTGACTGGCCGTACTCAGCATGTGGTCCTCAATGGAACTGCATGTACATGGAGGGAAGTGTGTAGTGGGGTGCCCCAGGGCTCTGTTCTGGGCCCAGTGCTTTTCAACATCTTCATCAACGATCTGGACGAGGGGATAGATGGGGAACTCATCAAATTTACAGATGACACCAAGCTGGCAGGAATAGCCAACACTCCAGAGGACAGGCTTAGGATACAGGAGGATCTGGATAGACTTGAACATTGGGCGCTATCTAACAAAATTAAATTCAATGGTGAAAAAGGTAAGTTTCTATATTTAGGCAAGAAAAACCAAATGTACAGGTATAGTATAGGGGGTACCTTGCTCAATAGTAGTAACTGTGAGAGGGATTTCGGAGTCCTAGTGGACAATCATTTAAATATGAGCCAGCAGTGTGCTGCAGCTGCCAAAAAAGCCAACACAGTGCTGGGCTGCATTAACAGAGGGATAGAATCAAGATCACGTGAAGTATTAATACCACTTTACAATGCCTTGGTAAGGCCACACTTGGAATACTGCATCCAGTTTTGGTCACCATGATGTAAAAAAGATGTTGAGACTCTAGAAAGAGTACAGAGAAGAGCAACGAAGATGATTAGGGGACTGGAGGCTAAAACATATAAGGAACGGTTGCTGGAATTGGGTATGTCTAGTTTAACGAAGAGAAGGATGAGGGGGGACATGATAGCAGTGTTCCAATATCTCAGGGGTTGCCACAAAGAAGAGGGAGTCAAGCTATTTTCCAAAGCGCCTGAAGGCAGGACAAGAAGCAATGGGTGGAAACTAACCAAAGAGAGAAGCAACCTAGAACTAAGGAGAAACTTCCTGACAGTTAGAACAATTAACCAGTGGAACAACCTGCTTCCAGAAACGGTGAATGCGCCAACACTGGAAGTTTTTAAGAAGAAATTGGACAGCCATTTGTCCAAAATGGTATCGGGTTTCCTGCCTGAGCAGGGGGTTGGACTAGATGACCTCAAAGGTCCCTTCCAACTTTATCATTATAATTATTATTATTATCATTGTGTTCAGATACTGATCTTCAAGCCAGGATGGAGCATCCACTCCAGGTATTTTCAATTTGATATGGAGTAGATTTGTTCATGCTATTTTAAATTCCCCGCAAAGTAGGCTACCATGAAGTTGGTGGATTGTGGTGATTCTGCATGAAATATACTGAAGGAGGGATCATTTGTTATCTTTGAGAAGTATATTAGTAACATATATTCATGATCCAACACATTTAATTTTTCAAGAATATAATATACTTTGACTGCTTGAACTATAACCGTATTAGGTGGGCTGTGTAAAGAAACTCTATCTTGCTTTAGAATTCTTCAAGTTTTTGGAGGTAACATTCGGTAATTATAACATTAAGTTATAATTGAGTAGAAGAATATTTTGATCTTAGTGGTTAAATCTTTGTTCTTTTTGTTCTTCTCAATCTCTAAAGCACAGTAGATAATTAACAATAAGTTTCTGCAGATAACCATGATTAGATTATAGGATCCCCACCAAATCTATTCAAGTTGCACATGTTACTTAAAATAGGTTGATAGCATTTTCTTCACAAAAATGTGTTCAGAAATAATTACAGAGAAACCTGTGATTTGAAATCCGAAATACTGATAAACAATACTGAAGAAACAAACAGGTAGGATTAAGCAAAAGTAAATAAATACAGATCCATTCAGTAAAAGGGAGCAAAGCACTATGTTCTTGGTCAACAGCATTATGTTATTTACTTTAAAATTCTTTTCTCTTTTGTTCTGTATTAGCCTGCAAATGTCATCTTAAAAATACTGCAAAAATTGCATTTAAATATGTATGTAATACATTTCAAAACCAAAAATCACAAATTGTTTTATTTCCCTATGTCCATAAAATTCTGATTATTAGAATACTTGTATATTAAAATCCAACATAATAACTTAAAGAAACTCCTGTCAAGTTATATAGGCAACTAACTTTCATTGCAGTATGCACACAGAATTGATTTCAGTGGTACACCCTATGTATATTCATATGCTAAGTATATAACCTTTGAGGAAAAGAGTTAATCCTGTTGCCCATCTAAAATATTTTTATTCACTTCTGCACTGACATTTCCTTATGATGATGCTGTATTGCTTTTGGTCACTGTACCTTTATAAAAAGATTTATGATTTCTGTACACTGTCTAGGGATCCTTTGGGTGACTTAGAGAATACCTGTTTCATTGAAGTATAGTTGGATCCATCAGTACTAATTTTTCGTATTTCATGATGATCAGCCAGAATTAAGAATGGCTCTTCATCTATATGAAAAAATAATGGTAGTTTTTTTTACTTAATTTATGAAACTTTGGAATTGAAACATAAACAGTGAAAAATTAAGTGCTGTATGCTATTATCATTATTATAGATAAAAAACATTAAAAGCATAATACTTCAAACAAGATCAAATTTTAGACATAAGCTGAACAGGAGATTTAATTAGCACCTTTTTAGAGTACTTTAATATAGCCTTTGAAACAGGGGAAGTATTAACACACTCTATGATTTCACTTCCAAAATGAATTTATAAACACAGCTTGGCTTTCAAGGAACAAATAGATAATAAGTAATACCTGACATAAAAAAGTTAGAATCATTTGATTCAAAATTAATGCATATTTTAATTTCCAACAAATAGTGTGTGTTGACTACAGTGGTTCTGAAAAAAATATATGGAGTTTTTAGTGTTAATACACTTTGGAATGTATATGTAACTACCATGTTTCCCTGAAAATAAGACCCAGTCTTTTTTATTGTTTTATTTTTTTGCCTCCAAAAGAGGCACCAATTCTTATTTTGGGGGGGGGGTGTCTTCTCCACTCACCTCATGGTGGCAGCACCAACAACCCCACCAGCCAGCCCACTTCTTCTGCGGCCGAAGGAGCAGCTTCATTCTGCAGCTGAGAATGGAGCTTTGGCCTGCATTTTACAATCAGAGGCCTTCTGGAAAGGCCTCTGCAGCCCAGCTTGATTCTCGGCTGCAGAGGCCTTCCAGAAAGGTCTCTCTCCAAAATGCAGGCCAGAGCTCCATTGTTAGCTGCAGAATGAAGCTGCTCCTTTGGCCGCAGAAGTGGGCTGAAGAGGAGTGTCAATCCATGGGAGGCCTGGCTGCAATGGTAAGCTCCACCCTCCAACCCCCGCCATAGCTTGATTTTTAGGTGTGTACCTCACCCCAAACCTATGGCTTACTTTTGGGGTAGGGCTTAAATTGGGCCTACCCCCAAAAAATCAAGCTAGGGCTTATTTTCGGGGTAATTCTTACTTTCAGGGAAACACAATACTAGTTCTACCCGTTGTGTTCACCTTACTTTGTTCCTGTTCTTAGCTGCCCAAAGTGATGAATTAGAGATGGACAGACACATGAACTGAAATAAATACATAAATAAATAATGCAAATTTCTTTAATTTATTAATGTGCTTTATAATCAAAGAAAAAAAAATCCCACCCACCCCTTTCCACCTCCATCAGTAAACATAAGGGTAAAGAAAGAAATAATATTATTGGAAGTTAGCCCCTATGCCTGATAATTATTTAGGAAAACAATGCTTTCATAAACAATGCAATGAAAACAAATGAATGAATCCAAATCAAAAATTAATCTCGCAACTTTTGCTAGATCAAGAACTTCTGAATGACACAAATTGCTATACATTTTGAGGGACTAACTTGTTTTTTAAGGATTTTAGACAAGATAAAGAGCAGGGGTGTAAGTTTGCTAAGTGGTACCAACTCATTAAAGAAGGACAAGGAATGTTATGTTATTTACCATCACTTATATCCAGTGGTGGGATTCAGCCAGTTCGCACCACTTCGGCAGAACTAGTAGCTAATTTTTTGTTGCCTAGGCCCAGAATGGACTTCCAGAAGCGGCATCCACACAGAGAACCGGTTGTTCACATATTTGAATCCCACCACTGCTTATATCCCATTACCTGAGACAAGTTTTTGCAGAACTTTGCTTTCAAATAAGCCAACAGCTTATTTGGATGGAAGATACAGAGCTTACTTACTGCACTATGCTTATACATATGTAAAAACGTACAGGTGGAATATCTGACCCATTACCTAGTACAGTGATGGCAAATCTTTTAGAGACCGAGTGCCCAAAAACTGCCCCCACCCCCGCTCCACCCCTTGCCCTGCCCCACTCCGTCCCCACCCCGCCTGCCCGCAGGGCCACTCACTGCCTCCAGGGCCCACCGCAGATTGCCTAGCAGTGCCATGGCAGCCACATCCTCTGCCCGCACCCCGCAGCATCAACTGTGCACAATGGGACATGAGGGCAGAGTCTTGTCTATGCTGCTTGGCTGCCATGTCTTTAACTGCACTGCTCTGCATGGGCCATGCTCGGGGGCGACGTTTCTCCAGGAGGGCTGCTGGTGAGGAGAGGGTCATGGGGGAGGCAAGGCTGGGGCAACGGCACATGTGCCCACAGAGAGGGCTCTGAGTGCAGCCTCTGGCCCCCATGCCATAGGTTCACCACCACTGACCTAGTATATTGCAAACTCTATCAAGAACCTAGAACTAATTTATTATATCCTTGTTAATCCAATACAATCAATCCAGAACAATTTTTTGTTGCCCAATGAAGACAAACATGTATTGAAACAATTGCATTGTTTGCAATGATGGCAAGGAACATACAAAAGCATGCTGACAAATGGTACTGTTTATATTAGAGGGGATGTAGTAAAGTGATTCGATTGCTGCATTTTACATATGTATTTTGCTAAAACCTATAGTTGCAAATAAGTATTTTAACCCCCTAAAATGAAGTCCTATTTTTATGCTTAATTGGACTGTGATTTTAATAGTTTTGTAGCTGAAAAGATTTACCTGAAAGGGATTTGCAGCCTTGCTGAGCATTAGGTTGCATTTCATAACCATCCATACACAAGCATTTGTAAGTCCCATATGTATTGATGCATTGCTGACTGCACGGAAAGCCAGATGAACATTCATCAATGTCTACACATGTTTTGCCATCCTCCTTCATATGGAAACCAGGCCAACATTTACACTATAAAGAAAAATAAAGCACATTATGTGTTAAGCATGTAAAGGCTAGGGCTGTTTGCACCTTCTTATCTGCCTTGGTTAATGCATATCAATTTTGCTGAGATGTTTTTAAAGCATGTATCAAAATCTCAGGATTCAAAAAAAAGCCCATTGCTCATTTTGAGCTTTTTTCCAACACTCATGTAGGCAATATTTTACAGTATTATAATTTACTTAATTGTTTAGATTTCTGGAATATTTCAAAGCAAAAATATGTATATGTATATAAAAAAGGTGAAACAGGTTCTTTTTCTCTTTCATAAAGTTGGCTAGGAGAGTATGGTTTCTAGCATAGTTCCTAGGAAAAAATGTAGATGAAAAGAGGGAATTGAATCTTTTCCTCAGTTTGAATTTTTTTTGTTCCATTTTTCCTTAATCAGTTGTCATTCCCTCTGGATTCAGATAGATAGATAGATAGATAGATAGATAGATAGATAGATAGATAGATAGATAGATAGATAGATAGATAGATAGATAACCTTTATTGTCATTTTTTTCTGTGGGCACAATGGCACACATTAAAAATGAAATTTAGTTGCTTGCTCTCAAAGTGTACACATACATGTTGTTGTTGTTGTTAATTGCGAAGTCGTGTCCGACTCATCGCGACCCCATGGACAACGTTCCTCCAGGTCTTCCTATCCTCTACCATCTTCTGGAGTCCATTTAAATTCACACCTACTGCTTCAGTGACTCCATCCACCCATCTCATTCTCTGTCGTCCCCTTCTTCTATTGCCCTCAATCTTTCCCAGCATTAGGCTCTTCTCCAGTGAATCCTTCCTTCTCATTAGGTGGCCAAAGTACTTGAGTTTCAACTTCAGGATCTGGCCTTCTAAGGAGCAGTCGGGGTTGATCTCTTCTAGGACTGACCGGTTTTGAACGCCTTGCAGTCCAAGGGACTCGCAGGAGTCTTCTCCAGCACCATAGTTCAAAAGCCTCAATTCTTTTGCGCTCAGCCTTTCTTATGGTCCAACTTTCACAGCCATACATTGCAACTGGGAAAACCATGGCCTGGACTATACGCACTTTTGTTGGCAGGGTGATGTCTCTGCTTTTTAGTATGCTGTCTAGATTTGCCATAGCTTTCCTCCCCAGGAGCAAGCGTCTTTTAATTTCTTGGCTGCAGTCCCCATCTGAGGTGATCTTTAAGCCCAGAAAAATAAAATCTGTCACTACCTCCATTTATTCCCCATCTATTTGCCAGGAATTGAGAGGGCCGGATGCCATGATTTTGGTTTTCTTAATGTTGAGTTTCAAGCCAACTTTTGCACTCTCCTTCTTCACCCGCATCAAGAGGCTCTTTAGTTCCTCTTCACTTTCTGCCCTCAGAGTGGTATCATCTGCATATCTTAGGTTGTTGATATTTCTCCCGGCAATCTTAATTCCAACTTTTGATTCATCTAGCCCTGCCTTTCTCAGGATGTGCTCTGCATATACGTTAAATAGGCAGGGCGACAGTATACAGCCTTGCCGGACTCCTTTTCCAATTTTGAACCAATCAGTGGTTCCGTGTTCGGTTCCCACTGTTGCTTCTTGACCCGCATATAGGTTTCTCAGGAGACAAATGAGATGGTCTGGTACTCCCATCTCTTTAAGAACTTGCCACAATTTGTTGTGATCCACACAATCAAAGGCTTTTGCATAGTCACTGAAGCAGAAGTAGATGTTTTTCTGGAACTCCCTAGCTTTCTCCATGATCCAGCGTATGTTGGCAATTTGATCTCTAGTTCCTCTGCCTCTTCGAAATCCTGCCTGTACTTCTGGTAGTTCTCAATCTACATACTGCTGGAGTCTAGCTTGTAGGATTTTAAACATAACTTTACTAGAATGTGAAATGAGTGCAATGGTGCGATAGTTTGAACATTCTTTGGCATTGCCTTTCTTTGGAATTGGAATGTAAACTGACCTTTTCCAATCCTGTGGCCACTGTTTAGTTTTCCAAATTTGCTGGCAAATTGAGTGTAGCACTTTTACTGCATCGTCTTTTAAGATTTTGAATAGCTCAGCTGGAATACTGTCACCTCCACTAGCTTTGTTGTTGCTAAGATTTTCTAAGGCCCATTTCACTTCACATTCTAGGATGTCTGGTTCGAGGTCAGTGACCATCTCATTGTGGTTATCTTGGATGTTAAGCTCATTCTTGTATAGTTCTTCTGTGTAGTTTTGCCATCTCTTCTTAATCTCTTCTGCCTCTGTTAGGTCTCTGCCATTTTGGTCCTTTATCATGGCCATCTTTGCATGAAACGTTCCCTTCATATCTCCAATTTTCTTGAAGAGATCTCTGGTCCTCCCTATTCTGTTGTTTTCTTCTATTTCTTTGCATTGTTCATTTAAGAAAGCATTCTTATCTCTTCTAGCTATTCTCTGGAATTTTGCATTCAATTGGGTTTATCTTTCTCTTTCTCCTTTGCCTTTCATTTCCCTTCTTTCCTCAGCTATTTGCAAAGCTTCCTCAGACAGCCATTTTGCTTTCTTGCATTTCTTTTTCTTTGGGATGGTTTTAGTTGCTACCTCTTGTACAATGTTGCGAACTTCCATCCATAGTTCTTCAGGCACTCTGTCTATCAGATCCAGTTCCTTAAATCTATTTGTCACCTCTACTGTATATTCATCAGGAGTATGATTTAGTTCATACCTGAGTGGCCTAGTGCTTTTCCCTACTTTTTTCAATTTAAGCCTAAATTTTGCAACGAGAAGCTCATGATCTGAGCCACAGTCAGCTCCTGGTCTTGTTTGTACTGACTGTATAGAGCTTCTCCATCTTTGGCTGCAGAGCACATAGTCAATCTGATTTCTATGTTGACCGTCTGGTGATGTCCATGTGTAGAGCCGTCTCTTGGGTTGTTGGAAAAGAGTGTTTGTTATGACCATCGTATTCTCTTGACAAAATTCTATTAGCCTGTGCCCTGCTTCATTTTGTACTCCAAGGCCAAACTTGCCTGTTATTCCGGTTATCTTTTGGCTTCTACCTTAGCATTCCAATCCCCCATGATGATAAGGACATCATTTTTTGGTGTTAATTCTATAAGGTGCTGTAGGGCTTCATAGAACCGGTCAATTTCATCCTCTTCAGCACCAGTGGTTGGGCATAGATTTGGACTACTGTGATATTGAATGGTTTGCCTTGGATTCGAATTGAGATCATTCTGTCATTTTGGGTATTGTATCCCAGTATTGCTTTTCCTATTCTTTTATTGACTATGAAGGCTACTCCATTTCTTCTGAGGGATTCTTGCCCACAGTAGTATACCTGATGGTCATCTGAGTTAAATTCACCTATTCCTGTCCATTTTAGTTCGCTGATTCCTAAGATGTCGATGTTCAGTCTTGTCATCTCTTTTTTGACTATGTCTAGCTTGCCTTGATTCATGGATCTTACATTCCAGGTTCCTATAGAGAAAAAATCTTTACAGCATCGGACTTTCCTTTCACCACCAGATATATCCACAGCTGAGCGTCCTTTCGGCTTTGGCCCAGTCGCTTCATTCTTTCTGGCGCTACTAGTACTAGCCCTCTGCTCTTCCCCAGTAGCATATTGGAAACCTTCTGACCTGAGGGGTTCATCTTCCAGCGTCATATCTTTTTGCCTTTTAGTAATGTCCATGGGGTTTTCATGGCAAAGATACTGGAGTGGTTTGCCATTTCCTTCTCCAGTGGATCACATTTTGTCAGAACTCTCTGCTATAACCTGTCCATCTTGGGTGGCCCTGCACGGCATAGCTTATAGCTTCATTGAGTTACGCAAGCCCTTTCGCCACGACAAGGCAGTAATCCATAAAGGGGTATACATACATAACACACATTTAAATATACTATATACAACATATGTATAAACCTACACCTTTACACATAAGTAACATATAAATATTAATCACTATCCATCTTGAATATATAATGGAAGGAGGAAGCTTTTCCATAAAAACTGTTTTTTTAAAAACAAACTTTCCTTATGTTTTCTAAAAGAGAAGAGGAAGAAAGGATTTAAAGTTGCACCTATTACCAGGCAAATTGATAGCTCCATTTCTTTTGCTGACATACAGTAACAGCCTTAGCCTAGGGGATAGTGTTTTAGAAGCAGAGGTTCTGCCTCATTAAGAATCCTGAAGAAAGTAATATAAGTTCAGTTCTACAAAATAAGTGACAAGATTTAAACTCTTAAAGTGGTTTTCAAATTTCTCTTTAATATATTATTCTGAACATTTTTGTCTGAGATCACTTTGACTGTAAATGCATTAAATCAATACAAAACAGAATTTGCATCTTTCCATCATGCCCCAGTAATTACAAAAGGTCTTTTTGACATTCTCCAAGTTAAAGTTAGAAGGCAGAGAGACTTAAAACAGAACATGATAAACTCATGAAACAGCAACAAAAATAGACCAGATAAAATTAATTCATCTTTAATTTACCAGGTCAGTTTTTTTTAAAAAAAATCCTATTCAAAATGTGGTCATGCTGGAAAAGCACATCATTTAGTCATATTTAAATGGACACTTAAGTAAGCATTTATTCAAGGCTCTTAAAATTACAAAATCCAACAGCTTTGGGGTACAGTCACATTAGGCAGGTGATAGGAAAGCTATAGGTTCTTTCCTGGCAATTTCTAACAAAATTATATTGTTTTTACTGAACCAAACAGAGGCAGGTATTACTTCTTCTGTAACTTCACCTCCTGATATGAGAAATGGGAAAGTTACAAGCATTAGGTTTAATGGTGATGGAGAAAGTTAATCGGGCAATAACCTCAAAATATGGAATTTCTTCTCATAAGCAGATTTAGGAAGTTTAATATTTATTAGGTATTCATTAAGAAGAACATTAAAATTTTTATATTTGCTGTGGTATTTTTGATGCTTCAACTACTAACTGATTTGTGGATTTGTCTATATTTATTTTGGATCTTTTCATTTTTTTATTGTTTTAAAATGTTTTTAGTTTTAGTGCATTATATTTTTTGAATTGTAAGTCACCTACAGTCATTGTCTGATGTGAGCAGCTATAGAAATTGAAAGATAAATAAACTTATTTTACAGTAGTTCAATTGTAAAAATGCATCAAGTCTTTCCTCCCACTAAATGATGTGAGATTAACTTTAAACATAAAAGAATACAACAACAAACACATAATTTTTAAAATTGCATATTAGACACATAAATTGGCATAGCCATCTACTTTAAAGTTATTTGTTTTTTTCTCAGTACATCCAATTGATGATATTAGTCTTTAAAATTAAACAGAAGTTTGCATGTTCTCTGGACTTGAATTAAGAATGGAATGGAATGGAATAGAATAGAATAGAATAGAATAAAATAGAATAGAATATAGTGTATTATTTTAAACTTTTAAACTACCAACCTTGTATCCAACAGGAAGGTCTTGACAGTCTTGAGAACAGCCACTAACTTTCTTACTCAAACATTCATTTATGTGGCAATTTCTCTCATCAGACCCATCACCACAATCCTGTTTGGCATCACAAACATCTTCTTGGGGAATGCACTTGCCATTTTTACACATAAAAAAGGAATTGTTGCATGACTGCTCTAAAAACAAGAAATAAATGGGTAAAAGGAAACAGAATGCAAGAAGTATGTAACTATTCATCAGGTTTTAAACTATGATCTACAGTTTAATTTACAAACAAATTATACATTTTCATATACCGATATAGCTTTAAAATATTTATACAACATGTATAAATGTTATAATATTTGTAAATTATTATCATTTTTATAAATGTTTAAAACAATACAATCTAGAAGTATTAATGTTTATGGAACATAGAGCACTCATTTCAATAAAACAGGAGTTTAGCAACTGTTTATATGGTACATTTGCTAAATATAATGCTTGATTATTTTAAATATGAAACTTTGTTTATGGTGGATTTCTCTTCCTGTTGACTTGGGGCTGGCCTTAAGTTTAGAAATATCTGCACCAATTTCAGATCTGATTTTTCAACCAAACTTTGATGGTTCTCCCTGGATGGTATTGTCACCCTTTAGGTAGACCATACCAGGAAATCAACTCCACAGGTGGGCGAAAACTACTTTTATTCAAATTGTCTATAATAAATCTTTCAAGACTGAATCTATTCACCTCCTCCTTCCCTACTGTGAATTCCTTACTCTCTATAAGTGCAATAGTATATGAGAATGACCTTGAGAGACAGGAGGAAGAGCCACAGAGTAGACCCCTGTCATGTAAAATATACTTCAGTCCACAGAAGGAGAGGGGGTGTGGGAGGCATTTCAAAATGGGTCCTCTCTAGTTTTTCAAAGAGTAAAGGAGAAGGAGTGGATAAATACTTTCAACCTTGCAAGATACTGTTAAGGTAACATTACAATAAAGATAAAGTTAGTATTCCTTGTATGGATTATCTCACAGGAGTAACAATAGGTACCAATGCCTTGACTTTATAACTTTTAAAGTGCAGAAGATGACCAGGCTGAACATGATGTGGAGTCAAATGCATCATCAGTCTAGAGTCCCTACACCCCTGAAAGAGACCCAACTTTAGTTCTTTTGAGCCTGAATATTTTTCTATCTTTCAACCTCTCTTCCTTTGCATATGCTTTGGATCAAAACGTGTCAGTTACCAAGTGATGAATTGAGGAAAAGAAAGAAGTCCATCTGGATTAAGAGATCTGCAATATGGGGCTACAGGAAGAAGGAATCAATAAATTACCCAACCAGCATGCTTTGTCAATCGTCTGCAAGTATAAATACTTATTATTTTGGACATAAAAGCAAAATTGCACAAATATTTAAAAAGCTGAACCTGCACTTCTGCATTTTATATTAATAGGATCCTCATCTGAATGATCTGGACAATCAAAGTCTCCATCGCATTGCCACTGAGAATTTAAGAGACATCTTCCATCAGCACAGATGAATTCTCCAGGATGACAATGGCGATAGTCTAAAATCAGAGTGATTAAAAAAATTATAATGGTTATCTCAAATGTTTAGAATTATATATATTCTAAGCTTTTAAATATTTATACCATTTATAGCCTTACAATTTATCTTTGCATGCAAGGTCTCATCCACAAGGTAAGACAAATATATGCATAAGTTTCTTGTTTGCCATTTTACTGATGCAAATCTTGGTGAAAATGTAATTTCAAATTTTTTATTATCTCACCCATTGATTTGCTTGTTTGGGTAATGCCTGTGCATAATTAACAAATTCCAGTAAAGGATTACAGCCCCATAAGACTCTTTTCCATGACAGGAAGATTTTGCAATTACACTGAATGGCAGAAAAGATTTCAGCCAAGAAATATGGCACTATTTCTAACTATAAAAATTTAATTTCAGTTAGTGGGAAATTACAAAAGGAATAGCAGCAAGCTTACAATTTTCTGGATCTCTAGGAATTCTGTATGTGAAATTGAGACCTGTCTGCATAACATAGTTAGTGTTATACATTGGAATTTAAGTTCTTGGATTTCTATACTTTAGTAGATAGAAGACATTCCACAGAGGACATCAAAACAGAGTTCTGATTTTGCAACTCTTGTGTATTCTACTTTTGATAAAATTGAAGGACAATTATCCAATCCAAAGCATGTAGTAAGCATTATGGCTAATTATATATTTGATCCTGAGCACTCTAATAATAACGAATTGCCCATATACTACATAAGCCTTCCTCTATACATCTGTGATGTCTTGGCTATATCTTTCAAATATCAAATATTATGGGTAAGGAAATATATGTTTTCCACTGCTAAAATGAATAATATCAATTATTTCATTGTTCACCATTAAAATTTTGTGGCCTATATTCTGTTATAATGAATATGCTAAATTATTAAAATCTAATTTCAGTTAGTGGGAAATTACAAAAGGCATCAAAGAAATCAATCTGTGGTATTGACAAATGTACAAGTAATTTACTTTGAAAAAGTAGAAATTGTATTGATATAAAAATATTAGGAATTCAGCTTAGATTTAGGAGAAATATAATTCCTGTTAACTTACTTTCTTCAATGATTTTTAAATGATTTTAAATTTATTATTCTCTGCCAGAATATGAGGCAGAGAATCTCAATTTCGATGCAAAGACATGTGTCTATGTTTTAAAAAAAAATCTCACAGTCTTGTTTGAAATAAATTAATATATTATTAAAGCTTGAAAACAAAGATATATATTATGGCAAACTGTAATTATATATAAAAAAGCAAAATTAGAAAATTATGTACTATAATTTTCTGGAATCAGATTTTTTGGAAAACAGGAACCCAGTACAGAATTCAAACAGAGCAAAATTTATCTTTGTATAATTCTTGCATAATTTAGCATCTTTTGTATAATCCAGGTATATGCAAAAGCTTCAGGATAATTGGATCCTGCTGAAGTCACTATTGGATGTGCTATTGGGCTGGAACAGCATATAAGATCCAGCAAATAAATAAATAGAAAGATTAAAATAATATTATTTTGCATAATAGTATGCAAAGTACACAAAACAGAACAGAAATTCATAAGGTTCGTTATATAATAATGAATTTCTGTTTCATATCAAATTTAGTTAGACTTGCACTTAGCCATACATATAATTCTGAAAGCTTGGGTTGACATACATCTTTACACATATGTTTGCATTAAACAACAGTCAAATTTTTTTACCTTAACATATTGCTAATAATGAAACAGCATAATTCAAGTGATGAACCTTGCTAGCCCTTGCTTTAAATTTTATCCTGCTATGGATTAATATACCAACTATATTGAATTCATACCTCAACAGATAAAAAAAATTCCTTTATTAAATAAAGGGGAAATAAATTATTCAAACATAACTATTTTGCATCATATCAAGGATGGATCAAAGCATCTTATTGATTAATTGTGCCAGGAGAAACATGTTCAGAGTTAAATAGCTCTTCTTTAATTTAATGTTCAGGATTTCAGCCATTGCTGGATTTTTTTTCATTCAAAGCATATAGCTACTTTTCTTTAAAGCTTAAGAACGGTGTTTCTCAACCTTGACAATTTTAAGGCATATGGACTTTAACTCCCAGAATTCCACAGCCAGCAATGCTGGTTGTGGAATTCTGGGAGTTGAAGTCCACATGCCTTAAAATTGTCAAGGTTGAGAAACACTGCTTAAGAATAACAGTAAGAAATGTATAAAAATAGGGTAACAATGTTACTCTATTGCATTATTTTATTCTTTTATAATTGACTTTCTTTTTACAAAATCTAGATAATTTTCAAGAACTCTTTTATAGTGAATAATTGTCAGAGATACTTGCCACATTCTAGAGATTCATCTGATCTATCTCCACAGTCATCATCGTGGTCACATACAAACAGTTTAGAAATGCAGACTTTATTGTGGCATGTGAAAGTATTTTCATCACAAGTATTACTGGGTGCTAAGAAAAATAATAAAAGGGAAAGAAGGAAGTTATCTTAGCAAAAGAAAACATAAAAGATACTTTCCACATTGGACAATATTCAAACTTACAAAGAAAAATCTCAGACATCATAATCCTTTAACTCCTGCTACCAGGTTTCCCTCAGAGGAACAGAACAAAAAGTAATTTGAAGTTAACACAACTGGCACAAACATTTTAATCACACTCATTAAAGATTGTCTGCATAGAATATTTCATGTGCTTCCAGATGTCCCATGTGGATTTTCGTTGTATGACACAGGACTTTTGAAGTCTGATAATATGATAGAAAAGGAGGAAGAGAAAAAGCAAATTAGGTCATGTTTGCATACACTTTCTGTAATGGGATAGTTTAAACTACTGACTCCAGGTGCAATGGAGCAGAGGAAGAAATGAGAACAGTCAACAAAAATGTTGTGGAGATTTAAGTTATCTCTATTATTATATATAGCAAAGTGGTCAAATAATTTCTTTTCCCCTTAGTTCACACTTTAAAAAAAAGTATCACCAGCCAAATATCACAACCAGTAACACTTATTTTACACGTAAAAGGCATAAGCCACACTTCTGCCAGAGAATAGCATTGAGAGGATTTACCGTACTTTCCGGCGTATAAGATGACTTTCTAAAGCGTTGAAATCGGCGCTGAAGTCGGGGGTCGTCTTATATGCCGAATCTTCTTATACGCCGGAAATTACGGTGGTTTCCGGCATATAAGACGACTTTCTAGGCACACAACTCGGCGCCGAAGTCAGGGGTCGTCTTATATGCTGGGTCGCCTTATACGCTGGAAAATACAGTATAATATTTCTGTCATTTTTATATAAATTTTCCTAATAATTTTCTTTTAATGCATCATCTTAAATTCAGAGTCATCTTTCACTGAATACGGGATTGGAAGCAAGATTTTATTTCAACCATATGCCTTTAAACTTCTGTTGATCATTATTGTAGACAATTCCTTTTCATTGGGTGCTTAAAAACCTACAGATGGATTCATAGCATATATGCTTCTTATTGAGAATCAGATCAATTTCTTTGGGTCTATTAAACCACAGTATTTTTGCCTTACCAAACACTAACAGCAAACATTAACATGTCTCATTAGTCAAAACTAAAATGGAAAATATGTTTTGTATATTTTGCAAAATGGCTTTTACCACATCCTGCTGTAGCAAGTTCATCACTTCCATTAGGACAGTCTCTTTCACCATCACAAAGCCAGTGTTGAGGAACACAGGCATATGAATCTAAACAGCTGAACATGTCTGGAGCACAAGTTACTGAGCCTGTGAAACACATAGAAAAGAATATAAAACAAACAAGCTCCTGATGTTATGATGCACAGAATATATTTTCAAATATTCTTTTAAAATAACTCAACTGATGAACATGGCATACACACAGAAAGAAATCACTTTCACTTGGGCACAAAACCTAAGGTGAAGCTTAGCTGTTTAGTCTAGTGGTTAAGATACCAGTCTAGAAAGCAAGAGACCATGAGTTCAAGTCCTGCCTTAGTCATGAAAGCCCCCAGGTGACTTGAGCCTGTCATTCTCTTTCAGCCCAATCACCTCACAGGGTTGTTGTTGTGGGGAAAATAGGAGGCAGAAGGTGTGCTGGATATGTTATTTATAAAAATAATAAAGGTGGGATCTAAATAAATAAATAAATAGGATCTGCATATACTGCTGTTTATTATTTCCATCATCAAGATTGGCATTAGGAAAGACTAAACTGTATAATATTCTCATGAAGATACATCAGTATTCTATTACTTCCAAACAGTGTATCACTAATATCTGAAGAAACTTTGAATTACACTAAAGTTTGGAACAGGCTATGTCAGATTTATTTACTGATTCATCTGTTTAATTTGTATAGCTGCCCATTTTGCATATGTGTCTTTGGGCAGCTCATACAATTAAAAAACCCATACAAATACAAATAAATAATCAACAATAACACAAAAATGTTAAAACATATTAAAACCATTAAAACCCTAAAAACATAAACTTTCATCTTCTGAAAGGTGTAACCATTTCACAGGATCCATGCCATTGCCAGATCCAACAGTTTTCTCCTGATACACTAATACATCTCTAGATAGCTTTGGACATTTTAAAATTAGCATCATTATAGAACTCACCACAAATAGCTTTACTTTCATCCAAACCATTTCCACAATCATCTTCCCCATCACAAGTCCATTGTTTGGAGATGCATTTTTGTTCAGAACAAGCAAACTGATTCCATGAACAGGAGGAATCTAAAAGGAGATGTAAATTATAATGCATCCAATGCCAGCATTGTGAAAAGATATTTTATGCTCTTTATAACTGGAGGGCTAAATATGAACTGAAAATATTTTCTGAACAAATTTATCTCAGCTATTGTTCAGATACAGAGAGTTGGGATCATTTTTGGATGCAATTTAATCTGATTTTTTTTTAAAAAAAGTTTATGACTGTTTAAGTAGTTTTATAACTGTTTGTACTATAATGAAACCACATCTATAAACAGAAAAATGAAAGTCTGCACATAATATGTGAGATTATTGTAACATAAAGTTTTATGGGATCCAGTTTCTATTAAAAAATCAATCAGAATGATAAAAGAAGCACCCTTTTAGATGGACACTATCATAACACATATAATAAAAAGGCGGAGCTTCCATTTTGATGTCACAATGCTGCTTGTATCAGTTGGAACCGCCTTCACTCCCAACTCATGGTCACCATTGAACTGTTCTTGCTAGAAGAATTCATATATGCTTAGATCTGCTTCCAACCTTATTTTGATTTATTAACCCATATAAATTTGTCAGAATGTCATGATGTTAATTTAGATTTTGATTTTAAAAATTAATTATCCTGTAATGTGCTCTGAAAACTCATTATCAACAGCTCTTTTGCAAGAAATGTTCATGGATTAATGATAAAATACTCACCACAGAGTAATTCATCACTTCCATCTTCACAATCTTTCTGACCGTCACATACCCAGGAAATCAGAATACATTTACCACTAGGACAGCCAAAATAATTTTCTTCACATGTATGCTTATTTCGAACTTCAGTAAAATAAAAGAAGCAATGTATTTCTAGTTATCATGGTATCGTGAATATAAATTGTACAATAAACAAAAATGGCAGCAATCAATAGAGTTCATTGTTATGAAAAAAATATATTTCCCCAATTACCTGCGCATTTTAATTCATCTGAATAGTCTCCACAATCATTAGATCCATCACACAGCCATTCTGGTAGTATACAAAGTGAAGTAAAGTTACAGCTAATAAATCCTGAAGATTTCACTCCAAGTTTATAGAAATTTTTGCAATCTGTATTATCTGAGAACATAAAATGCAATTATCATATATTATAATATTTTTTTAAGTTTGATCTCATTACTGGAATTTATCTTAGACATATTGTTCAATTTATAAACATTATATTGCCTGTCATTGATCAAATACAGGGTATATTCTTATCACGTTCAATGTACCAAGTTCCATTGAGCTTATTGTTTATGTAAACTCTGCTGCATTATATAAAATGCAAATTAATTATACATGAAGTATATATATTGGTCTGAAGTGAGGAAAAAAATAATGTATTATACATTTGGAATAAATCAATTAATTAAAAAGAAGAGTTCCTTACTGCAATTTTTCTCATCCAAAGCATCTAAACAATCCACAATCTGATTGCATTGAGCTGATTTTGGAATGCAAGTTCCATCTAAACAGCGGAATTCCATAGAAGAACATCCAGAAACTATAAAGGACAGAGAAAGAGGGTATTTTTATGAGTAGGGGAAAAGGGAAATAATTTTTTTTAAAAAAAACCCTTTGCATTGACGAGGATAGATAGATAGATAGATAGATAGATAGATAGATAGATAGATAGATAGATAGACAGACAGACAGACAGACAGACAGATATGTAGGTCTTTGGTTATTCGGGTTTTCTCCTGCGTAAAATTGGAAGTGTCTTGGCGACATTTCGACGAAGTCCCATTCATCATCTTCAGGCTGGTGTTTTCAGCTTCGTGCTTCTAGGAGCATATCCCTCTTCACCCAAGTGCCAATCAACGAAGCCTTGAACATTGCTCCTAGAAGCACGAAGCCAAAAACACCAGCCTGAAGATGACGAATGGGACTTCGTCGAAACGTCGCCAAGACACTTCCAATTTTACGTGGGAGAAAACCCGAATAACCAAAGACCTACATACAAACATCCGAGAAAACCTCAGAATATATATATATATATATATATATATATATATATATATATATATATATATATATATATTCAATAATGATGGTGAAAATGCGACTCCCGAGCATAATTATAAATGGAATGAATAAAGCGCGTTCACCAGGAAATACGGGAACACGCAGCAGAGGAAAGATGTTAAATTGCAGCCGATGAAGCCCCGCCTCCATGGTAGGATACACAATGACATCGAACTAAATCCCCCCGCTGCAACGAGAGCCAGGGCTGCCGAGAGAGGGTGGAACATAGCTCTAACAATACCCCCTGAGATCGACGGAGATGTGAACACAAGTGCTCGAGAGAACGACAGAAGAAATCTTTACTCCGATTCCCCCTCCCACCTATCAGCTGTTCAGCAGGGAATGCTGGCACAGTCTAGGAACCAAGCACAGACGTCTATGGAACCCGTTTGAACCACCTTGTTAGAAACGGTCTCTCAGCCCTGAAGATGTTGGGGAGTTTTCCCAACGAAAGCTTGGCAACCTTTTAATATAGTAAAATACTTTAATTAAAGTATTTTAACTTTAAACTCTCCTGGTGAACGCGCTTTATTCATTCCATTTATATATATATATATATATATATATATATATATATATATATATATATATATATATAAATGGAATGAATAAAGCGCATTCACCAGGAGAGTTTAAAGTTATATATATTTGTTTCTGAGGTTTTCGCGGTTGTTTGTATGTAGGTCTTTGGTTGTTCGGGTTTTCTCCCGCGTAAAATTGGAAGTGTCTTGACGACGTTTCGACAAAGTCCCATTCGTCATCTTCAGGCTGGTGCTTTCAGCTTCGTGCTTCGAGGAGCAATGTGTGGTCTTAGCTGTTTCTTCCTTTTAACTGCCAGTGGGGGTATGAACTGATTGGGTGGGAGCTTGGCTGTGTTCTGATTGGGTGGAGGTGTGTTCTGATTGGTTAGGGGCGTGGCTGTGCTCTGATTGGCTATGTTTCAGGTTACGTAGTGCTGTCTGTTCCTACGTAACCTGAAAGAAGATACCAGCATAATAATCCTACCAGCAGACAAGGGCAATGCCACGGTGGTTATGAACACATCTGACTACCAAACCAAATTAACCAACCTACTCCAAGACTCCACATACAAACCCCTAAATACAGATCCCACCACCTACCTGGAAAAAAACCACCAGATCCAAAATAAAAGCCTCCCCCATTAGCGAAGAGATCCAGCAAAGAATCATTCCCAGAGAGAAATCATCCAGATGCCCCAAACTCTATGGTCTCCCCAAGATACACAAAGAAGGAACCCCACTCAGACCTATAGTCAGCTCCATAGGCTCACCTCTACAAAACCTAGCCAAATTTCTCGCCAAACAACTACAGCCCTATGCAGAATCCATCACCTCACACGTAAAAAACTCATTCCAGTTTATAGAGATCATAAAGAAACAAAACTTACAGCCCAGCGACCTACTAGTGAGCTTCGATGTCATATCCCTCTTCACCCAAGTGCCTATCAAAGAAGCCTTGACAGCTATCCAAAACAAATATAACCCCCCCAAAACACATCTTAGATCTGACCAACCACTGCCTATCCAACACATACTTCATCTATAATGGACAAAAATACAAACAAACAGAAGGAGCACCCATGGGATCACCCCTCTCACCTGTCATTGCCAACCTCTACATGGAACACTTTGAAACCCAAGCTCTAGAAAAATCGGATCACAAACCCAAACTCTGGCTCAGATACGTAGACGACACCTTCATAATCTGGCCACATGGGAAAGAAAAACTGGACAACTTCCTCACACACCTCAACAGCCTACACCCCAAAATACAGTTCACCATGGAAACAGAAGCTAACAACCAACTTCCCTTCCTGGATGTCTTAGTCTACAAGAAATCCAATGGCTCCCTAGGACACACCATCTACCAGAAGAAAACACACACAAACCGCTATCTGCACGCTCTCTCACACCACCACCCAGCACAGATCAACTCTGTAGCCAAGACACTCATCTCCAGAACAAAACGCTTAGCTGACGAACAACACCTAAAAACCGAACTACACACTCTTACCAATGTACTAACATCCAATGGATTCCAAAGAAATAAGATTACAAACCTAATCGAAAAAGAAACCCCCACTAAAATCCAAGATAAAGAACAAGAAAACGGCAAAGCCCTCCTCCCATACATAAAAGGCACCACAGACAGAATCAGTAAGATCCTCCATAAACACAACATCAAAACAGCATTCTGCACAAACAGAAAAATATCCACCATCCTTAGAAACCCCAAAGATAAAATTGAATTAGAAAATCAAGGAGTATATGAAATCCCATGCACCACTTGTCCCACCACATACATCGGACAAACCAACAGAAGAATAAGTGCACGCATTGAAGAACATAAGAACTCAGTCAAAAAAGAGGAACCAACATCTTCCCTGGTCCAACACCTTAAAGCCACAGGACATAAAATTGACTTTAAAAATACCAGAACCATTGCCAAAAGTGAACATTTTAATAACAGAATAATCAGAGAAGCCATCGAGATAGAAAAACGCCCACACAGCATGAACAAGCGAGATGATACCTCCCGCCTACCAGCCATTTGGAAACCCGCCCTTATTGACAAACGACTCCCTAACACAAAAAATGATACCAGACCCACACTCACAAAAACCACACAGGATGTCACCACCACATATCCACGCAAAAAGCAAACCCAAAGCCACACCGATGATGAGGCACGACCACAAACCAGAAGCCAGACTACAGCTGCATCATTAGCCACTTTAAACCCCTCCAATCCATACGTGAAGCAAACTGACACCCTCCATGAAGATGAGGCACGACCACGAACGCGAAGCCAAAAAATAGCAAGGCAGCCCAAAATCTTAAACCTCCTTGCAACTCAGACTAACCTGAGTACAACCAAACAGAACACTCCCCCAGCCAATCAGAGCACAGCCAACCCCCCAGCCAATCAGAGCACAGCCACGCCCCTAACCAATCAGAACACACCTCCACCCAATCAGAACACAGCCAAGCTCCCACCCAATCAGTTCATACCCCCACTGGCAGTTAAAAGGAAGAAACAGCTAAGACCACACATTGCTCCTCGAAGCACGAAGCTGAAAGCACCAGCCTGAAGATGACGAATGGGACTTCGTCGAAACGTCACCAAGACACTTCCAATTTTACGCGGGAGAAAACCCGAACAACCAAAGACCTACATATATATATATATATATATATATATATATATATATATATATATATATATATATATATATAAACATATGCAATAATTTGATGTCTAGAAACATGTATGTATGTATCTATGTATATTTGTAGATATCAATTTTTTGCCATCCCAACATTTTGTATTTAGATATCCTTGTCAGATTATTAACTGGCCCTAAGATCATAGTTATTGATCCCATGTTATTTCATCCCATAAATGTGAAGTTAATTATGTTTTTTAACAATGTTTTATTTGACCAGATTTTTCATGTATGTTAACTGCATTGAGCAAATAATGAATTACAATCCTTGGTTTCATCAAACACCCCACTCCAATTAACATTTTACTAATAGTTAATTTTAAATATGTATCAATATTCAAAGTATTTTTCTGAAAAAAAAATGTACCTTCACAACCACTTTCATCAGAACTGTCACCGCAATCATTTTTACCATCACAAATTTGATTAGCAGATATACAGCGCCGATTTAAGCAAGGCTTAAAACCTTTCCGACAGTTTCTGTTTTCTTATAAATTAGAACAGAGAAATAGCTTTTGTCATTTACACAGCTTTATTACAGCTGAAATGTTTTGGCATGCAGATATGAATCAGTAGCTAAAAACATTATATAAAAACAAGAGATGGCAAGAGAATCAAATGGAAGAAATGGACATGGAGTGGATTGACTTACCACAATACAATAATTTCTCATCAGACTTGTCCTTACAATGAGCTATGCCATCACAGGAAAGTTGGTAATCAATGCACTCACCATTTCCACATTCAAATTCAGAGTAGAAATTGCACGACATGTTTTTAGCTGAAAAAAAGAAAAAATATTCACTTCAAAGTTAATGGCATAAAAGCCAACTACAGTCTCAAAAAATTAGCCTTCTGAAGTAGGAGATATGGTTGAACAGGAGGGGGTATTCTTGTGGTGGAAACTGACGAGGCAGGAAAATCAGATGGTATCACTTTTCATTTCTCACAAATAAATTGTTAAATTTTCAATGAACTTTCCCTTCCCTCTATTAACATGGGACTCAAAAAAAGGAAGGAGAACTTGTCCTGATATGACAACTTAAATACATTGTAGTTATGTATTTGAATAATTTCATATTCTATTTATTTAAGACAGTCATTTGGGAATGTTACATGTGGAGATATATAAGTATATATAAAGTTGTATGGAAAAGATACAACAGGTGGAATGTGGGAAGAATTTTTGTTTTAAAAAAGTAAAATGCTTTCATGTTATTTTGAGAAGAAAAAAGGCATTACTACTGCATCTAAAAGTGAATATGCAAAAAATATTTGTCTATTTGACCTGAGATGTGTAAGTTCATGCATTTTAGTTAATTGTCTACATATGTTTTCAGTTCCTTAACTGAGCTAAATGACAGGTAAATTTTTCTATAATTTCTTGGTTTTATGATAAAAGCATACATAAAGTTCATGCCACAGATCAAATACCTATTGTATTGATCTCTACCCATACTGGTTTTACTCTATCCATATTGGTTTTACACAATAGTGAAATATTTGTATTGTTGCCAGGGAATTAAAACTCTGGACTTTTCATACACATACCAGTTATATTTTTACTGGAATCCCCTAATAAAGGATTTGTTCAAGAAAATCCAGTAGAATCAAAAGCTTGTGTTTTTCAGGATAGAGAAAAGAATCTAAGCTGGCTATAGAAGAAGTAGAATCTAATGATGGTATATTCTCTATTGAACAAATGCAGGGAATTGCTCCCAAAGGATTGAAGATACATAAAAATACATATCTGTTTCCAAGTCATTATCTAGCCAGCTAACTAATTTTCCAAATATCTTGGAGGCAAAATGTCCCAATTCTTAAATGATGACAATACAAGATAGATTGGCTAACTATATAATAACGTTTGTTGTGCATAACAGGATCCACACTATTTCAATAATATTTCTTTTCTGATTATTCAGCTAGGTTTAATTCAGTCTAGTAGTCAGCTTCCTTTTTGAAATCCACTGATTCCTTTGTTAACAATCAATTGAATTGCTTTTATTCCAATTTAGATTGATTTGATTCCAAAATCTATTATTATATTTAAGCATGGACAATGTTTGTCTTTGCTGGGCACAAAGAAAGCTTGTGGATGTCAGTTTAACTTGAAATTCAACCTAAGACTTCCAAGACTTCATAATGCTTTCTTGCATGACCTCCCAATCTTTTCTGATGCCAGGATCACATTTACAGGATCAAAATCCTGTTCTCCCTGTCTCTTAAATTCTTTAGTTGCCTTATTTCTGTGTACAGCTTTGAGACACCAGGCAGTATCTGATACTCATACAATTTTCTTGCCAAAACTTGCTTGCTTTCTTAAAGTGGTTTGTGCCCAGTGAATTTCTGATACTAGTTCTGAGTTGAATGGTGGTGTTGAGCAAAGAACTGAGAGGACTATGGGACCAATTATGAGTCAATTCTACCTACTCTATATTTAAATTATATTTTCTCCAAACCTGGCTACATCTCATTCTATTTCTTTAAACTTGCTATTATATGTATCTGAGGGCAAAAGAATATATTATTGAACTTGCAATTTTTATACAATAATATTTAGGAAGCTTTAACAAGTTTGAGCTTCTTTTTTCTTTCATTTTTAAATTCACAACAATAAGCCATGAACCTACAGAAAATTTTGCCACACATTTTTCTATAATTAACTGTAATCTATCAAAAATGAAGTCCTTTGTGTTTCCCTTGCTCTGGAACAAGAAAAGGGCCTTGACACTCTATTATTAGTTTCCTTCCCTCCTCCAAATTATTATTATTATTATTATTATTATTATTATTATTATTATTTTATTGAAAATTTTTATAAACATTTTACAATAAAATAGCCCTCCTCCCACCCCATAACCCCCCCCTCCTTCCCAGAGCTGAATACAGGGTTAAAGAAAGAGAAAAAAAAACCATACAAATTAAATGAAGATCAATCCACTATACATACATCCAATTTTTTTTTTAAAGTAGTTTAACTCCAATACATAAAAACTACAAATCCAACCATACCCAATTTAAACTATAAATTATTCAAAAGCTAAATAATACTTCCTAATCCCATATTTAATCTGTACAAAATTTACCCATCTTTTCTACACCGAAATATATCTCTCTTGTGAATGGTCTTTCAGATAAGCCGAAATTTTTGCCATTTCTGATAAATGAGAAACTTTGAGAAACCATTCTTCTATAGTAGGCAAGGAATCCTTCTTCCAAATTATTAACAAGTTGCTAACGTCATAGAATTTGAATTTCGCAGTATAGGTATTTCCACAGCTTCTTCTCACATGTTTATTTTGCAAGTGTTACATTCCTGCTTCAATTATCTTCATATAGTATGCTGCACAAGTGTATATTGCATTTATGAGTGGAATGCTTTGATATGATTCTATTAGCAGTGTTTCCAATAGCAAAAGTTGTTATGTTTTATACAATGGGAAACTGTCTCTCACTTTTCACAGGCTCACAATCTATTTTAGACGCTCTCTAAAGATTCAGAGCAGATTCAAAAGAGATGCAGGAGTTGTAGGCCGAAGCCGCCATTCCATTAATGGGCTTTGATTTATGCAAAGTTGGATTTTACTTAATAATTTTGGATTTCAATGATTGTTCAATCTATTTCTCCCCATTTTTAAAGTATCTAGTTTCCATCTCACTGCAGTTCAGAACATGTCTCTGTAAACCACACCTGTTTCATTCTGTGGAAAGGAGAATGTACGGCAATCATGCTCACTATGCAAAACACATCCTGGGCTCTGTCCATACTAATGGCATATCAATACAGATATATATGGAAATGGAATCAAGGTATATTTATGAATTGGTCTGTTAGTGTTCAAGAGTCAAACTGAAACCTGTACAATTAAATCAGAACTGGAAACTAAATGGATGGCAATCTGGTGAATCAATAGAGCAACATTTGTTTTCTAATTCCTTTGTTCACATAGACAATCTATTGCATGATTTCAAACGTTATATAATACAGGAATGTATATTAGATTCCTAACAACCAGCATGTAAGAAATTTGTGTCAATTAAACATTTGAGTACCCTTGGGAAATATTAATGCCTGGCAATGTTGCCAAGTTAATTACAGTTTTGAACTTGCAGCAAATCAACTCTACAAGGATTCTCTGCAATGTGTTATGGGTCTAAGTGTGACAGTTTTAAGGCTACCTTTGAATAAAATGTTATTGTGAGATACTGATATTTTAATTAGATTCAGCTGGAACTTGGAAATCAGGTATCTGCCCATACAAGATCAATTGAGCTCTAAGGGTATAATTTTCACAGCTGTTTTAAGACTCCACTGCACTACAATAATGTCAACAGTTTTAATTAATGTGTTTCTTATCAGTATAAATCATTTGTATGTCCCATTCACTTTTAATTAATATTGCCAGAGAGGGGCAGCTTTGCCATAAAACAATGCATATTATAGTATAGTGACTGTAAATTAATTTATTGATGAAAATTTGCTTTAGATCAACTCAATACTTAAATATCAAAGTTTATAGCATTTAATTCCCAATGCACTGATATATACTCCTTAAAATATCTTTTTGTCGTAAAGTACATAAAGGGGCTTTGCACAACTGCATACAATAATTTTCCAGAAGATGGGAACAAGAAATTGAAGGAACATAATTGGGAGGGAGATGAGGAGTGAAATGTTTTCTTCATCCTGAAGAAAAAAACATAATGGTTTTTTTTGTTTCTTGGTTTTTTTTGTAGTTTTATATACTTCCCAGAGTCCATTGAGTTGGGTGACTAATACATTTAAATAAAAATAAAACCAATATGGAAACAGTCACTCTATTGGGTAGGTGTGCAGCATATACATTTAATAAATGAATGAATGAATGAATGAATGAATGAATGAATGAATAAATAAATAAATAAATAAATAAATAAATAAATAAATAAATAAATACATAAATAAATGGAATGCTGGATGTGATAAGCCTTTGGTCCTCTTCCAGTACCAGGCTTCTCATGTTTTTCACAATCTTCACTATTTACGTTACTTCTACCTTAACTGAATAAAAATTCAGTTTCATTCACAGCACAATTTTTAGGACAACAATCATTCTGGATGTCCATGTTTTCTATCGGGTTACTAGATAAGACAGGTAGTATCATTCAAACTGGAATACAATCATTATTTAATTTTTACTGAAAATATGTAAGAAAGAAAATATATGCAAAAATGAGAACAAGTTTATATTGATTTTTCCCTCCACAAGTAAGCTTATAAAAATGAAATATAACATACTTTTGCCTTTTGTTTTAATTCTGTTTATGAATAAATTTGAATTTTGAAAACTTAGGAACACCACTTAAAAAAAAAATCTATTCCTACATAGATGAATCTATCAGAGTTGTTTTCCCTATAATTTTTTAAAACTCCCTTCAATTTTTTCCACTCTGTTTATGAAAAAACTTGTGAAATTTTGGTTAGGTTGAATTTATTTAGTTATCTTCAATGCTAAGAGAGGAAGGAAGGAAGGAAGGAAGGAAGAAAGGAAGGAAGGAAGGAAGGAAGGATTACAATTGTACTTACATACACATCTGTTATCATCTGTAAGTATGCGGTCACCCCTGCATGAACAATTAACATGCCCATCAGGTGTCAGGAGACACAAATCATGACAGCCTCCATTCATTTGGGCACAAGGGGATAATTCACCTAGTGGGAAAAAAGATTGTATAATAAAAACAAGTATCAATTTGCATTAGAACAGCTGGTTTCAATATTTATGATCTCTTAACATAGCAATGCCAGTACATTATATGATATGACTGCATTTTGGACAAGTTGCCATTTCCAGATGGTCTTCAGGGTTTATATATGTACAATACATTGCACTAAACAACTCAGAAGTGAGTTATTGTGAACAGTGGCTCCTGATCCAGGAATGGTGCAATTGTTATACAAAATGAAGTTTTGCAAAAGCTCTCTCGGTCACAGTTACAATCTACAAGTAGTCCTGTACCAGTCACCTTGTGACCGTTCAAAGTTACAGTGGACCTGTAAAAGGGCACTTACTATCTAGATCTGAAGTTTTGATGATTTCCTCCTCTCTGTAGTCTCATGATTGCAATTTGGGTGCTTGGCAACATTACTGCATTTCACTTAAGAGTGTGGTGTTTATTCTACAACTGTGTTTGCTTAACCACCATAAAAAAGTCATAAAATCAGATCAATCACATGACTGACCCATTTTATGACTGTTATGACTTATGATTGTAATGGACCGGCTCCATTATGGTCATTGAATAGGAGCCATGAGTCCAGAAGAATACCCAGATTGTACACTGGTATTGTTTGTTACCAAAGATCGACCCCTAAATCCCATAGCCACTCAATCTTGCCAAGTTTAAATTGAAGCTTGTTCTTCCTTATTCAGACTCACATTGTCTCCAGACACTGAAACAAAACTTCCACAATAACCCTTGGTCAATCTTTGATGAGATATAGAGCTGGTTATTCTCATCATATTCATGATACTTCACACCATGCTATAGATGATCTCACCTAGTGGTTTCATTAAAATTTTAAATAAGATATCATTAAACCCTGAGCCTCCCCTTCCCCGCAAAAAAGGACTGTATGCTAAATCTGTTTTTCTATAATTGCAAACTAGAACTTGTCTTGGGAAAAGCACAACCAATGCAAAATTGTGACCCCCCCCATTCCTAGTTTTGGGAGGTGTATAGAACAATAGAGTGACTGAAGTATTAAAAGCTACCAAGAATAAAGGAAACCCAAGATGGACACAGTATCCATATCCCACTCCCATCAGAGGTAATCCATATATATGATCAATGCCATATTGGTTCTGTGCCCAATATGAAACCTGACTGAAAAGGGTCCAGATAATCAATTTCCTCCAGGATTCTTTGAAGTTGCAGTTCAACCACCTTCTCAACAACCTATCCTATGAAGGAAAGAATGGAGTTGTTGTTCAAACAACAGCTTCTTAAAGACAGGGTAAATCACAGCCTTTTTAAACAGTAGTGGGAGACCCTCCCCCAATCTTTCAAAGACGAATTCACCACTGCAAAGAACATGCATCTCTTTGAAAACTTTTACTAACCAGGAGGGGCATGTGTTCAACACAGAAATGGCTGAGTTAACAATGCCAAGAACCCTGTCCATTTCATTAAAATCAAGAAAATCAAGCTCAACCCAGATAACCAAATCAGACTGAACCAGTCACTTCCATGGGATCAGCCTCAAAGCCAGAGTCAAGCTTGAAGCAGACCCAAGTGACTTAATTGACAGGTGTCTCACATATTTTTCATAGTAGTCCTGAAGGAAAATCTCCAATTCAGCCTAGGATATACAAAATGAAAAAGTCCACAAATGATGTCTGAAGAAAAACTAGATTGCATGCTAAACAACTTACTACTTCTCTTCTGATAAGAGAGAAGTAACTGAAAGGCAACAGAAGACTGTTCAGAGACTGAAGAGACAACATATTATCGGTGTCAAAGAGTAAATATCAGGAAATACTCTTCCTTTTTACTTCATCAGTGTAACAATGGTAATCTAAAGCTCCCTGTGAAATATGCTAACTTCCACTATGGTAGAAATAAGGAGACTTCCAATATAATATATATCTTAATTATTTTAACAGAATTATCATCAATAATATACATGAAATAGATATAAATTATATTTCAAAGAAAAAGACATGGTTAAGTTCCAAATTTGAAACAGGGATGAAATAGTTTGATGAATTTATGTGATTTGTATGGTAACAGGCTTTTTATATAACAACAAAATTTGCTAATTTGGAAGAGGGATTTGAATATGAAATGAAATGTCAATACATTAAGTGAAATGACTGATTAATTTAGACCATAGTTGGAAATAATGAAAGTATACGTAGTGAAAAATATAAAAAATATCTTAGATATTAGTGATAATCTTAGTGATAATTATTAGTGATTATCTTAGTGATAATTATGAAACAGTAAGGAAATCAGCTTGAAGCAGGTGGCAATTTTTAATTACACATTTGCCCTTGTTACTATGGCATTATAACACATTGAATACAGGGATACAAATTATCTTGTTAGCCTGCTACCTTGGGAAAGAGATGGGTAGAGGGGCTTTTCTCTAACAGGAAATTGGGGCCAATGGAGGGGTATTGAAAATACTTTTCATTAAAATTCCCATAGATTTCACATTTCAAGCAAGGGACAAATTTGAATACTTTTTCAAGAGAACATGCTTTCTCATCCAGAAAAATAACAATTTGGAAATTGTTTCAAATTAAGATTGTTACTTCTTTGATAATAGTTTTTTTTCTGTAATAAAAGCTATATATCTAAAAGAGAACAGTATAATGAACTTAAAAAATAATTCTTTTACTGATTTTTTTTTAAAAATCTACCAGTAAAGAAATACTGATGTTGTACTTGGTAACTTACAGCTGTTAGTGTCATTAGCAACAGCTATGATGCCCATAGGTTGATGTGGGATATCAGATCTAAGAATTTTTGTATCTCCACCTGTATATTTATTGGATCGCAGTATAGCTCTTCTCACCCAGTCTGTCCAGAAGATCCAAGCATCGTATACAGCTAAACTGAGAAAAGTGCCAGGTCCAGATCTGACTATCACCTGATTAGAAAAATAAAGGGATTAAGTAAATGTAAAATTATCTATTTTCCAATATTTCTGTTTTATTTTAATTAATGTGGAAACCTTCATAGTGAAAGAATATTTGATTCTATATTAAATTAATTGAATATCACTAGAATATGTGAAATGAACTTACAGTAGCAATAACAAGGTCAGATAAAAAGAAATGATAGATAATAGTTCAGAACACAGCTGTTTTTCAGTATCTCGTCATGTATAATCTAGTCTAAATATGGAAATACTTCATCTGTGAAGTACAAAACTTATCTGTTTTGAGCAAAAAAATACACAGAGAAATATCAGCTAATTAGGGATGACTCTAAGTGGGAATGAATTAAAAAGAATTCCTATATTTGAAATCTTTCCCATTTGCTGGTTACTAAAAGGAACCCTCCATCTTGAGGGTATGCAAGCCACACTTGAATGGGAAACTATCTCATGCCATTTACTTATTCTTATTAAAACTCTTTTGCGTACTATATTTGACCCACAACTGTGACGGAGCCTGACCATTACAGTTGTGATGACCATTAAGTGAAGCATATCACCCAAATTTATCTTTTTGTTTTTTGCAGAGGAGCCTGGCTGATGCAATGTAAATCTCAGCTTTCTTAGAGAGACTGTTAGGTTCATGGCAACCTTGTGCTATTCTCCTAGAAAGTAGCACTTCCTATGAGACTGTTTTTTAAGGAGGATACATTTGTTTATGGAGTTGTGGAGCCTCCTTAAAAAACAAAATCCTGTACAGTCTCAGGAGAAGTACTTCTTGCTAGGAGAATAACATGCGATTGGTAAGTTGGGTGCTGCTGGGCTCTGGATCTGGGTGAGGAACAGGTTGAGTCCTGCAAGTAGTCCAAGACCTCTGTGTTCTGGTAGCTTCTCTAGGCTCTCTTGTGTGGCTGAGTGGCCAGTTTAAGAGTATGCCAAGGCTTGGTGAAAACTTGAGGGGCACAGGGAGGCCTTGGGAGGCCCTACCAGGATCAGGCAGGATGGGCAGGAGAAAGTTGAAGGGCTGTGCTGCTGTATCCCTTCAGTTGGCCATAAGGATGGCTATAACTTTAAATCTGGGTCATATCTTTTTTTTGGGGGGGGCGTATGTCATAACTTTGAATAGTAGCTAAGTGACCAGTAGTAGGTCAAAGACTACTTGCACCTGTTTTCTAGGATTTCTTAGGAAGCATTGTATGCTGTTAATACAATATAGCATATACACAATTTTTGGATATATGAGGATGAAATTATATTGTGTTTGTATGTTAAAATTCACAACAAAATTATATTTCACATATGAACACCTTGATAAAATAGAATTTAAAAAATATAATTATCTGGTCATTACTACACAGAAATTATACATATATATTAATAAAAAATCAATTTGTGCTAGTGAGATTGAAGGATAGAAAAATTATAGCATAAGCATTAAACAGATTTATTATAACATCAAGAACCTCAAATTACTATTATTATTCTTTGTTTATACTGTAATAAGGATGCAAAAAATAAATATTACAGTTATTTATTTATAGAAATATCAATATATTACTAAACGTTAGTTTTATGATCTTACATTTCTGTGGGATCCATCATATTCACACCTTTCTATTTTTCCCAAACTACCATCGGAAAAATACAGTTTCTCAGCCCTATGATCCATGGCAAGTCCATTTGGTGTTAAGAGGTCAGTGCTGATTACAACTTGTGCATTTTTGCCATACAATGTAGCTCTCATGATGCTTGGATGTTGCTCATTCCAGTTAGTCCAAAACATTAAACTTAAAGCAAAACATAATTTCTATGTTAAAAATATATTTCACCTACAAATAATGTACATAATATATATATATCACAAGTAATGATACATCAGCAAGTTGCAAACTAGTGTTTTATGGAGTGATACTAATAAAAAATAAAGGTACAATAGAAGACCATATTTTGTGAGCTACAGACCATCGATTGGCAAATACAAGGGAAAATTTGAGAGCACAGAAGTTTGGTAAATGTAAGGAAAAATAATGATTATGTTATATTAAAATGCTCAGAAATAACTTAACAGTTACTTTTGTGTGTTTGTGTGGAAAAAAAATCATCTAATGTGTGTGTTTGTGTGGAAAAAAAATCATCTAATGTCCAACATTTAAGCACTATAGCAAAATGTCACTCTTGCCATCACTCTTTGGAGAACTATTGGGAATCAAAAACCCTAGTGGATTGATCACAAAGTACATAATACTTCAGCATGAATTAATTTCTACCTAGCATGGTTATAGAATGAGACGGATGAATAAATAAACAATAAGTGAAGTCAGATCATGCTTAAGCATCCTGTATTAATGGATAACTCATTCCCTGGCCAACATGATAGAATATTTTATATGAAACAAATACTAATGAAACCCATAAAAAACACTATTCTAATAATCAACAGAATGAAAGAAAGCATTTTGACTGTAATCCCAAAAGGTACCTTTTTGTATCACACTTTTGAATACAATGGCTCAAGAAAGAAGAAAGGAAGTCATATATTCACAATGCAATTGTTAGCAGGAATGTACATAACCAGTAAAAAATGTAGGAACATGATACCTACTTTTGGCATTCATCAAGGACTAATACATGTGGGTGATCATCTTCAGACATCGTTATTACTGCTTCTCTGTTGAAAGCACCTCTTCGTTTCTGATCAACTGTGTGCCTTGTAATAGAAGATGTAGTAGAGCTGGTCCAGTACAAAGTATCCCAAGCCCTATGATATGCTAGACCCTCCACAGATCCAACATCTGTCACAACAGATCATTAAATACATGTTTTAATTAAGAAAAATGTATGAATGGCACAATTAAAGTATAACTTAATATTTAAATTCATGTTTTATACAATATAAAATTAAGTTATCATATAAATTGTAGGATAGTATTATCTGATTACAGTGGTATCTTGGTACTCAGCCGCTTTAAACTTATTGAATTTGGTACTCAATATATTTTGACATGAAAATGTTATCCTGGTACTCATCGTTTGTTTGGTACTCAATGAACAAATTAGAACTTGTTGGTGTCGGCTGCCTTGTGACTCACTATATTATTCCTTATGGGGGAAAAATCATTTTTAGTACTCATTGCAACTCCTGGAACCAATTAACTATAAGTACCAAGATACCACTGTATATCACTTTCACTGCATACTATTACAATAAATGTGCTACATTTAAAAGATCTTTGATTTATACCAATTAATATATAGAAGATTAATTAGAAATTTAAATCTCAGAATGGCAATATTTTATTCCTTGGTGAATAAAACAGAAAGGCAGGTGAGATATGCCATCAAGTTTTACGGTCTCTGAGAAATCAATTTTGTAGGTTAACTGTTTTTCCACCTAGGATCTGTGGAGCTATTGTGATTGCTTTTCTTAACAGTAAAGATGGAACTGTAATCTTATACAAAGGATTATGGGGGGGAGGGTGGAAGGAGGATAAGGTTCTCTTGCAGAATATGCATACTAAATGCTGACTATGGACATAAGAGAAGTGTGGGAGAAAAAATACCACAAACCAAGAAATTAGCACATCTTCTAAATGCCATCAATTAGATACCTGCATGTGCACAAACACACTTAGGTCACAAGCAAAATCAAAACACTGAGGGCAGTCACTCAATGCACACAGCACTCTTTATATGCATCAGATCTTGTTCATGAAGCAATAGGATCTTCAATTTTCAAGTGACTAGCATATTTAAATGAAATATGCACTAATGAAATATAATATACAAACACATTATTTGTCTCTTGCTTGACAATCCAAATTTAATCAGTAATATAGCAAGTAACTGATTAATTGTCTGTCCAACAGAAAGGAACAGCTTCTGATTTACAGAAATGGTAGCAGAGTGATCGCATCATACTTTGCCAAATGTCACCTATCACTTATATTGAACTTAACAAAGATGGATTACATCGCATTAATAAGAAACACCCTATAAATACTATGATGTTACTCTTCAGTTGACTTCCCTGGAGAACAAAACAGCAAAAGATAAAAATCAATAGCTGGAGAAATTTCTATTCCTATGCTGAATATTGTAATATAAAATAACTGAAAAGTTCAGGTCAAGGCAATGGATTCTTTGACAACTGGTTAATTTTTTAGTATTTCTTCTTTTTAAAATTTCATCAAGAATTTTGGACTCTAAAATCTTATTTTTTTTTCTCACCGTTAGCATTGACATTTGACATATCATCTTTATTTTATTATTTCATTAAATGGTTAATTAAAATTTATTACTATTGGAAAGTTCATACATTTTCAACTGAGTCATGGTTTTTAAATATATTCCTTGTTTATTAACCTTATCTTATTTAGGGGTTGGCTAAACCAGCTTAAGATCAGAAAATTTATATCTGTGAGTCAATTCCATTGCTTCAGTTCCAGCCATGAATTTCTGCAGATAGGAGGGGAAATGATTTTACAACATTGCAGTACAATGTTTTGTATTTTAATCATGACATCTTACAAAATTACTAAAAATTAGATATGGCTTCATGATATTACAATGCACAATTCATCATATAAATAAAATCATGGCATTTTTCCAACACTTCTAGCTCCAGTATAAAACTTTTTACAGGGCAACTTTGTTATATGTTCCAACTGTGGCGGTGAAGATGTAACAGTATCAAACAAACATTTGGATAATTATATGTAGAATATTTGCTAATACTGAATGTTTAAATCTATTGGATTTAATGGACTAATAGAATATGTAATAGAATATGAAGCATGCAGTGCACTGAATGGCACTCCATCTATTTTTGAAGATGTTGCATCTTTGTTGAACACATACTTGCTGTTCTGTTTATTGTGTTCATTCTTTGTATTTATCCAACTCACTATTTTAGAAACAATCTGTTAATTATTTTATTTGGCAGAACTCTGGAAATGAGGTTCTTTTCTAACCATTTATTTATACAGAATATGTGTAGTGGGTAACAGTGGCTATTATTGGTAACTGGAATGAAAATAATGTTTTGAAAACTATAATCCATATAAGGATACATTTTAATAGCTCACATATATTATAAATGGCACAATGAGACCCTGATTAATTTTTTACTTTTTCATAGATTTTCTAAGAAAGCACCAAATCATTAATGACAAAAACATATTTAAAAAGATATAAAAATAAGCACTAAACAATTTATTGATTGGCAGTCAGCGTATCTGATTTAGATCCTTATTGAAAAATTAAAACATATTACTTTTGTAAGGGGATATTCATATGTAGTTTGTAAAATTAAAAAAGCAATCTCAAAAATGTTAGAATATTGAATATACAAAATCATATACTTTTCCCAAATATTTATTTTATCACATATTATACAAGAAAGCTAAAGCCTGACTAATTTCTTTGACTTCTGGCCATGCATTCTCAGAAAAATCATTTGAAAATTGATGTTTCAACTGAATATAACTGAATTATATTAGCTACCAAATAGGTAACCTTTCATAAATGGAATGCAGGTAGCCTTTGAGCTATGCCCAAAATGAAGCCCAGAATTTCAGTCATAAGTCACTATCCAATGGGTGGGGTTTTTTGCCATTTTCTGTTGGAAAATAGCAACAATTTTTTAAAATTGTGATTACATGACTGCAGGATGCTGCAACCAGTCATGAATGTGAGCCAGTTGCCAAGCTTCTGAAATTTGATTAAATGATCCTAAGGTATGTGTGTGTGTGAGTTAGTGTTTGTGTGTATGTGAGGCAGTCATAATTTCAAGAATGAATCAAAAGTAGCTTTTTGAAAGTCCATTATAACTTGAAACAGTTGTTAAGCAATTCGTTGTAAGTTGAGGAGTTCCTGTAGTTGCTTTTGTTTGTGTCTCTGGATATAAGGTCTTAATTAATCATACAATATTAATTTTTCTCTTCTACTTCATGAAACTCTTAACCAATTTGTTATTCAGCTTATTTTATAGGATCAATTCATGTTCTTTTCTTTTTAAATCTATTAATCCATCCCCTATCCTCTTTCAACTGCTTTTCTCCTTCCTTAGCTTCCCCCTCCAGTTAAATTTATTAGGTTTATCACTGACGCACCCCACTCTCTGTCTTTTTTCCCTTCCCTTTTTTTCCTTCCCCTTTTGGAAAACCTTCTTGATTAACCTGTTAGTTGTTGTTTCATTTAAGTCCCTATATTATTTAAAGAAAAGTTGTATGAAATATCTTCCTTTAACTTGGCCAATTCAGCTTCACTAACATGCTGCCAAAAAATCAAGGGTAAGGATAGAAAGATATTTCTTATTCTACTGGTGCATGTCCAAAGCAGCTCAAAGTTCCCTATGGTACAGATTTTATAACCTCATAATTTTTAATATATCTGTAACTGCTGTGAAATCTAAAATATGCTTTGGAATTTTGCATTTTATGTTTATTTTTTGTGAATTTTTGTAGCGCTGTTTTATGCTATAAATTGGCCTAATTGCTTAATAGGAACCAAAAAAAAGCACACAAATTTAATAAATATTACAACAAATAGATAAATAACTCTTCCTTGATCTTCACTGTACTCATCTCACATTCATTTTGTGGAAGTATTAAAAAGTGAAAAGGTTCTTAAACAGGAGTTTGTGAATGTAATGATAAACTGTTATAAATATTCATAATAAAAATCCATAACAGAAATCATTTAATGAAAAAACACGATTATAAATAGTCTTCAATAAGGGGAGAGTTATTTTGTTTGCCACTCTGTATTAAGAATATAGTCCTGGTGGCACAGTGGTTAGAATGCACGATTGTGGGCAAACTCTGCCCACAGCCATGAGTTCGATCCTAACAGGCTCAAGGTTGAACTCAGCCTTCCATCCTTCCAAGGTTGGTAAAATGAGGACTCAGATAAGGACTCCTATGCCGATATTGTAAACTGCCCAGAGAATACTATAAAGAACTATGGAGCAGCATAGAAGTACTGTTATTGCTATTGCTAATTGTTTCCATTTAGCTCTAATTATTTTACATACAAGAACCACCATGTGTACATGAACCACCAAAAAAGCTAAACAAATAAAAGTAATATAGAATAATTTTCTGTATATAGAAAAATGAAAACAACAACAACCAGTTATTCTCCCTTTTTCTTTGTTGAAAATGTCATTGTTTTCTTTGGATCATATTTCTTTAAAATTCTACATTTACTTCATGAATAATCATGAAGATGGTTTGGAAACAGAGTTTGCACACAGATGTTGCAGCCAGAGTATTAAGTGGAATTGCTAAAGAATAACACTGATCCTTGAAGGCTTCATTAACTGCTTATGTTGGCATTAATGTGTAAAGCCTTCAACAGCCACAGGAGCTAAGGGCTTCCAGTGAGGTGATTAGGGAAAAGGTATTCAGATTATACCTTGATTATAACATTCTCTATCAAGAGAAATACATCTTCTCCCCAAAGTTCCGAATAACAAGGGTTCTAAGATTGCCTTTCAAATTAATTTTGCCTCAGTTGTGTGGATCTACCCTGAGTCTAAGTTAGGATGTGAGTCTTACTCTTCTTCAGTACAATGAAATGGCTCCTCAAGGAATCCAGATGGGGCAAACTGACTTGACCAGCTGTTTATTTCGCAAAGGGGAACTTCTGTACATGTGCTATGCATGCCCAAAAGCTGACTCTCAAATGAAATAAATTGGCCATGTTGCTGATTCAAAATGGGTCCTTCATTTGAGTGAAGCAATCTTTTAAAGATCTACAAGGGTCTATAGATAATATTATATTTCTATATTTTTTTCATG